GTACGGGTATTAGGGGTTCAGAGGGAATAGCTTTGCAGTGAAGAAACCTGACAAATTCTACCTTAGCCAGATAATCAAGGTCTACATCAATAGCAGTAAATCATGTTGGTAGTAGGTACGCTTGATTGATGAGAATGACACTTTACCTCTGTGATCTTCCCCAAAACCTGTAACTCCAATCTAATCATGAGAAAAACATCAAATTAATTTTATTGGTGGGGCATCCTATACAATACCTGATGTTTAGTCAAGGTCCTCAGAATCCATTAATGTCTTGAGAAAACACTGTCACAGCCAAAAGAGGCCTAAGGAGACATGACAGCTAAAGGTAATGTGGTATTCTGTATGGGATCCTGGGACAGAAAAAGGAAATTGAGTAAAAACTAAGGAAATCTGAATGAAGGAAGTATGGACTTCAGTTAATGTATCAGTATTTGTTCATTAATTGTACCATATTAATATAAGATGTTCATAATAGGGGAAACTAGGTGTGGGTAATATGGGATCTCTATGTACTATTGTCTCAATTTTTCTGTAACTCTAAAATTGTTCTTAAAAATAAAGTTTTTTAAAGTCTGTTTTTTTAAGAGTATATATATAAGTATATTAAATAATATAAAAGTAAACTTGAAATTCAGGTGTCCATGTCTTATTCCACAGAGCTTAACCATAAACCTGGGAGGAGAGCCTTAGCATCTTTTAAGGTCCACAGGTGATTCTAGTGTATGGTCAGAGTTGAGACATGGCTTAACAATTTACTCCTGCTTGAAAATCTTATTTCTGAATTTTTTTAAAGACCTTATTCATTTGAGAGAGAGAGCACAAGAGGTGGGGGGAGTGGGGAAGGGGCAGAGGAAGAGGGAGAAGCAGACTCCCCACTGAGCAGGGAGCCTGACACAGGACTCGATCCCAGGACCCTGAGATCATGACCTGAGTTGAAGGCAGATGCTTAACTGACTGAGTCACCCAGGTGCCCCTCTGAATTTTTAAAAATTATGAAGTGTCAATACCAGTATATTCAAATCATTATCAACAGGGTTTTGCTTTTTTTTGGGGGGGGGTTCCTAGTATCGTTGTTTAGATCTTTCAAAGTGTGTGCTCATGGTTTATTTCCTTCTTTCTTCTTTTTAGATGTTTATCTTTAACATGCCCATGTCTCAAGACTTCATAATGTTTTTAAAACTTGGCTATGGTTTTTCTCTGATGTTCAGTGGCAATGTTTAATATTCTCTTGCTTTTTTTTCAGGCACTGTTTTCTGTAACTTCATTTTGTGCTGACGCTTCAGATGATTCCTAAATATCCTACCAAGTCACACTTACAAATCATAATTGTGAATAGCAGAAATCTGTTTTTTACAAGCTATTTAATACATTTTTCCCCTCTTGGAACTCAGTAATTTCTCAACCATATAGATGAATATAGTTTATGTAAACATTTGCTAGACTGGAAAATTACTTCATTTATCATCACTGAAGGCTTTCCAGCCTGGTACACAAATACTTACTTTAAGTAAATATTCTTAATACATTCCCTGTCATTCTTTTTATTTGCTCTTCAGTTTCCTAATAATGCCAATATGAATTCACTAGGTCATGTGTTTATCAAGAAGATTATTTTATATGTATTTTTTTCTAAGCCACACATTTTTTGATGTTTTTCTTCTTTCATTAATGTGTTTATTTAACTCTTTAGTTACTGGGACTTCTGATTTGGTCAAAACAATACTAATGATCCATGTAATTTACCAAAGATAGATTTGAGAGAGAAGTGTTCCTTCTTGTTTTGCTTTCCATCTTCTTACTGAATAATCCAGACCCTGCTACCTCTTTCCTGACCAGTAGCTTCAGCCTTCTTTAGGAGCTTGCTCTGGTCTCTTCCTGTCCCAGTCCCTACTACATGTCAGCATTATCTTTTTAAGATAATAGATTTGATCATGTCACAGCCTTGCTCTGGATTCTTTCTCTCTCCCCCCTTAGATATAAGATAATAAGAACCACTAGTATTTACTGATCATCGTACTACTTTATAGCATCAACTAAATAAATTTTGACCAGAACCCTATGAAGCCAGTATTCTTGTTATTCCAAATTAATAGACAAGAAACAGCATAGAGAGGTTAAGCAGCTTATTAAGGTGCTATAGTTAGTAGTTGGCAAAGCCTGAACCCCAATCTCTTGACTCCCAAGTTTCTTAAGTATAGTCCCCATCGGGCTCCTGTGTGCATTTTTGCCCTTTCTACCCAGCCCTCCCCTCATTCTTCAGTCATAGGGGTCCACTCAACTTTCTCCCATTTATGTTTTTTCTCAACTACGACCTTTATACTTTCACTTTCACTTTCTGCCCATGGAATCCTTGCTTCTCTTTTTTATCACTGTTAAGGTGACATTCCACATTCCCGGTTAAAGTTTTTTCCCCCCTCTTCTAGAATTTTATTTATTTTTCATTTTTGGCATTTCACTTACTATGTTATACATTTGTTTTATTTCCATCTTCCTACTAGACTGTAAACTCCTGGGAGGGGAGATCTGCCTTACCTTTACAAACCATGGGACCAATGCCTTGAACTTAGAAGATACGCAAAAAATGTGGAACTTTTAAAATGACTTTTATTCATACAAAATTTTGTTCTTTTTAAAGATTTTATTTATTTGAGAGAGAGTGCAAACAGGAGCAGGGAGAGGGACAGAGGCAGAGGCTTGATCCGAGGACTCTGGGATCATGACCTGAGCTGAAGGCAGACGCTAAACAGACTGTGCCACTCAGGTGCCCCTTGTTAGTCATTTTTTTAAGATTTTAATTCGACAGGGGGGTGGAGGGGGAGAACAAGCAAGGGGAGAGGCAAGCAGAGAGAGAGGGAGAAGCAGGCTCCTGCCAAGCAAGGAGCCCTATGTGGGGCTCCATCCCAGAACCCTGGGATCATGACCTGGGCTGAAGGCAGCCACTTGACTGACTGAGCCACCCAGGCGCCCTGGAATCTTTTTTTATTAATACTTAAGAACTGTTGCAACTAATTTATGGAGATGTTTTACTCCTATTAGATGTTTTCTACTTTGATAATACTTAATAAAACTTTATAACATTTTAATTTCAAGCTTTAAAATGTAATAAAAATATGTTTTTTGATTCTGTATTTTTACTCCCTATCTTTTCAGTTAAAAATTGTTATACTGTTAGATGTATGTTTAAAGCATATTATAAAGTTTTGTTGGTAACTCAGTTGAAAGTAGAATATTATAAAAAATCTAAATATTTCTGTACTTTTTCATTATTTACTCAGGTATAAAAAAATCAACTCAAATTTCTAATTAAGTCGTTTTCAATTTTTTTAATTTAATATTTTTCCAATAAAATTTAGACCTTTTTAGACATATATATACATATATATGGATTTTTAATGGGAAAATTAAGTTTGGAAGATAAGAAGACGTCTCCACCTGAAACACATGCTATAATATCCTAGACTCATGTTGGAAGTGGGCCACAAATTTAGCTTTACTTTTTCCAGTGAGTGAAGTAAACAGAAAACATGATTTAGTTGGATGATCAAGTTGTTCATATTACAAAACCAACCAGAGAAATTTCTTCTGTGAGTCCTCACAAAGAAGGGCTACCATATGAAGTAGGTGAACCATATCATCAGCAGCATCCCTGCAATAAATGCAGTTACAGTTTAGTGTGATATACATATCAAGCCATTCAGTGCAGGCCAGTGACATACTGTATAGTACATTAAAGGGTATTCTCTGAGGAGCCAGAATAAGCCAAAAATATCTCAATTCTGAGATAAACTAAAGAAAATTGAAATACCTAGAGCAGCGTTTCCCAAGCCACTGGTATTTTAGATGAAGAGGTTTTGATTTAGAAATTAAAGTTATTTTGTAAGGCAAATACGTAAAGTTTTCTCTTAAATAACTTTATTAACTACAAAAACTTTTAGAGCTCATACCTTCATATTTTAGTCCTTGGTATGCCAATCCCCAAAGTGTCAGCTCTGTAGTCACAAAGTGTAGAAGCCTTGGAATAATATACATAGAGCATGTGAACAGATCTCTAAGTCTCCTGCTCTGGTCAAAGGTTTTTTAAAAAGCAAGTTACCGGGGTGCCTGGGTGGCGCAGTCAGTTAAGTGTCCAACTCTTGATTTTGGCTCAGGTCATGATCTCAGAGTACTGGGATCAAGCCCTGTGTAGGGCTTCGTGCTCAGTGATTTTCTCTCCCTCTCCGTTTGCCCCTCCCGCTCGTGCGCATTCTCTCTCTCCCTCCCTTCTCCCTCCCTCCCTCTCTCAAATAAATACTAAAACAAAAAACCAGTAAAAAGAAAGTTACCATAAAGAATCATGTATTTGTAATTACAGTGAGTAAAGAAAGTATTAGATAGATGCTAGAGACCATAGGTGCATTTGTCAAAAATGTTGGAATTGATACTCTTGTGTGGGTAATTATTAATCTTCTGCTAGCACCATTCAGTAGAGTTTACCATGATGATGAAAGTGTTCTATACCTGCACAGTCCAAAATGATAGGCAAGCCAGTAGCTAGGGTGGTGATTAAATGCATGAAATGTGGCTAGAGTGACTGAGGAGCTGAACTTCTAATTTTATTTAATTTTAATTAATTTAAATTTAACTGCATTTAACATGGCTAGTAGCTATAGAGGAAGCTCAGTTCTAGAGGACAGGAAAGACTGCTTATCTCAGGCAATGTAAGATAGAGTAGCAGTTAAATTCAAGATTATATTTTCCATCAATAACTGAGTAAGGAGATCCTATATTTCTAAGAGACAAGTGCTTTAAGATAATAATTATATTTAAGCTCACTGTTCTATTTTTGAACTTGAACCAAGGATGCTTGAGTACATGGTTGATCTTTTAGATATTAATAGAATTGTTAGCAAACAGTGTTAAGCTAAAAACTACATGTAAAGTTCTTTCAGAAGATTGAGACATTTACTCATAAAAATAGAAACCTGTGGGTATACTGATACAGGACTGTTTTCATGTAGTTTCCAGAGTGTGGATTCTTTGGCATGTATGACAAAATTCTTCTCTTTCGCCATGACATGAACTCAGAAAATATTTTGCAGCTGATTACCTCAGCAGATGAAATACATGATGGAGACCTAGTAGAAGTTGTTCTTTCAGGTAAGTAAATAGCTCCTTTTATTTTGTTGTCTTTTTTTTCAACGAGCCTTATTTTTTGTACTAAATGCTATGTTCAGTTATACTTAGTCTTTGTGGTACAGTTGCTTAACTTCTTTTATCTATAATAATGGTGACCATGTGAATTTTACTTTCAGCAAGGTTATATCACAGATGAGAAAGTAGGAAAATAAGCCCTGAATTGTTTATCTGAATGTTACTAAGCTAAGGGAATTATCACTGGAACTGGAAGAGGAATATACTCTTTGAGTCAACGAAATAAAACAATTATACTGAAATTCAATTTCTTTTTCCCCATTTCTGTGAAGAGCATAGAAGAGGAGAACTGGGGTTCAAAAAGAAAGGAGAAAAGGAGGAATAGGGAAGATGTGGGAGAGGAAAGTGCAATACTGAATGCCCCCCATGATTTCAGTATTGCTCCTTCCCTGTGTGTTCTCCGTGGGCCTTTTCTTACCTCCCTCGTTTCCCCCTCACCCACTCTTGCCATTTGTTTTTCCTTAGCTCTTTCTATTTCTGATCTCATCCAGCAGCAGATGGGCAGGATTGTTGGCGAGGAATGTAAAGGAGCAAAGAATGCACCTAGTAGGCCTGCAGAACTTCTTGTTTGACAGGAAAGGAGGGAGGGAGAGAGGGAAAGAAAGAGAAAGGGAAGGAAAGCCAGCCAAGAGTCCAGACTCCTGCCACCATCTTTTCCACTCTCAAACTCATCTCTGCAGCCTGTTCTTGAGATCGTCTCCACCAACACCTTTCCTTATTAGTCCTTGATCTTTCCATTCATCTAGCCCCTACATTAATCATGCATCTGCACCACCACCCCATCATGTGTACATTTCCCAGTCCTTCTCTTTCTCTCCACTCCAAAAGGGCTTCACTTCTTGTCCTCCCTGGAGGTGGTACTCCTGTCCATTCCTTCTTTGCTCTAGACCCTTCATCAGGCCACAGGGATATCCACTAATGACTTGCAGGTGGAGGTGGGAGGCTAGCTACTGGTGGATGTGTCTGCTAGTGTTCAGTTGCTCACAGGAGTCTCTTTTTCTTAACTACTAGGACTATCAAGAAGACAGCTTATGCTGAGATCATAAGTTAGAACTCAAGAGTGTTTATAATTGAGGTTAAGTTCCACAGTTTCTACAAGTTTCACGTTTTGGGGGGTTTTTTTTTTTTTTTTTTTTTTTTTTTTACTTTAGGGTTCTATTTCCCAGTGCGTTATAAGTTAAATAGTTTTTAATTATAAAAATAGACCTACCAACTATTTGTGATCTCATCACTAAATATGTTTTTGGAGGTTGAAATACCTATGTACAAACCTTTTGGAGCTCAAATTATTTGGAGTTGATGAGCTTCCTAAGATAGTTTGAAAACCACAATATTAAATGCTGAAAATAATTTATTTTTTATGATAAATGAAACTTTCAGAGAAAAAAGATTCCATGTACTTTGACATAAGTGAATATGGTCAACGTTCTTAATCTCATTGCCATTACAGATTTAGGGTTTATTTTGCTACTTTTCTTTTTAAAAAGCTTTGGCCACAGTAGAAGACTTTCAGATTCGTCCACATACTCTCTACGTACATTCTTATAAAGCTCCCACTTTTTGTGATTATTGTGGTGAGATGCTCTGGGGATTGGTACGTCAAGGACTGAAATGTGAAGGTATGTGTTCTAAGTTTTTGTAACATTTGAAATAGGCTTTTGTATTTGCATTTTCTAATCATTAATGAAAGAATAAGATCAGGGGCGCCTGGGTGGCTCAGTCAGTTAAGTGTCTGCTTTTGGCTCAGGTCATGATCTCAGAGTCCTGGGATCGAGCCCCGCATCGGGCTCCCTGTTTGACAGGGAGTCTGCTTCTCCCTCTCCCTCTGCCCCTCTCCCCGGTCGTGCGCTCACTCTCTCTTTCTCTCTCAGATAAATAAAATCTTAAAAAAAAAAAAAAAAATAAGATCATTGGTTGGTGACTAGGGGGTAACCAGGGTTTAGAATTGGACGGATCTGTTTTTCTGAATTAGAATTGCCAGGGGGCAGGAGTCAGGGGCACATTTCTGAGTCCTCTAAGTCCTTAAGGTGGAGAATCAATAAAGTTTTTCTATAAAGGGCCAGAAACTAAATATTTTAAGTTTTGTTGGCTGATAGTCTCTGCCACAACTACTTAACTCTGCTCCTGTGCCATGAAAGCTATAAACAAGATGTAAAGAAATGAGGAGCATGCTGTGTTTCAATAAAATGAATTATGAACACTGAAATTTGGATTTCATGTAACTTTCACATGTCATGGGAGGGGTTTAGTGTACAGGCACAGTTTGCTAAAGTGTTTAAGTTGGTTGTTCTCAAACTGCCATGTATCAGAATCACCTCAAGGACTTGTTAAAACATACTTTGCTGGGACCCATCCCCAGAATTTCTGAATCAGTCAGTCTGGGGTGGAGGCCAATAATTTTACATTGAATTTTTTGGCTTCCACTTAAGCTTGTCATCCAGGTTCTTAATTAGGATAATTCTTGCTGCCAGAGAAAATAAATAAAGAAGCATGTATTTTTTATGTAACATACTTTATATATTAGTTTATTTTTTTAAAGATTTTATTTATTTATTTGTCAGAGAGGGAACACAAGCAGGGGGAGTGGGAGAAGGAGAAGCAAGTTCCCCGCTGAGCAGGGAGCCTGATGCGGGGCTCGATCCCAGGACCCTGGGATCATGACCTGGGCTGAAGGCAGATGCTTAACGGACTGAGCCACCCAGGCGCCCCTAAAGTTTCTTTAATCTACTATTTTTTTTACCTTTTAAAATATATTTAGGCTGTGGATTAAATTATCATAAACGATGTGCCTTCAAGATTCCAAATAATTGTAGTGGAGTAAGAAAGAGACGTCTGTCAAATGTATCTCTGCCAGGACCTGGCCTCTCAGTTCCAAGACTCCTACAGACTGAATATGTGGCCCTTCCCACAGAAGAGGTATGTATTTTAAGGCAATAAAAAGGGCATTTTACTACTTATTCCTTATGTTTCTCAAGAATATATGACATCATCCTAGAACATAAATATGTACTAAAGATTACTCACATTCCTACGCTTAAAAACTTAAAATGTATTACTGGAGAGAGTTTACTAGTAGTAATGAATTGCATTTTATCTACTTTGGGACCACATTATCACTTGGACCGCTGCATTAACCTCCTAACCAGTATCCAGCTTCTGGTTCCCATACTTCACTTCATCTTACATACTAGAACCAGATCATTTCATTTCACTACAGCTTGATACACAACTCTGATTATATCACTCCCTACTAGGAATTCTTTATATATTCTATGTTTCCAATAATCTGTTCTTTTTTTTTCCCCCAACAATCTGTTCTATTCAACATTCCCTGAACACATCATCGTTCCCTGTACCTTTGCTCTTACTGGTGTTCCCTCCTACATGCTTTTTCCAGATCTAGCTCAACAGCTGCTTTTCCTGGATTCTCCTGTTACCTAGAAGTTACTTTATTTGCTGAATGCCAGACCACTTTTCAAACCTCTCTAATGGTGTGTATAGCATTCTAACTTAATATCATAGTGTCCTCAAGGAATTTATGATCTGTTTAGAGAAGAAGTGCTCATGTCTTTGTGTGCCCTACCATGTCCAGCACAATACCTTGTAATTAGTAGGTATTCAGCGATGAATGAATGAACCCATTGATCCTCACAATATTCTAGTGAGATGTCTTAGTAGATCTGTACATAATGAGACAGTTGAGACTCATAATGGTCAAGTAGTAACTTGACTCAAGTCACAGAGCAAATTGGTAAGCAACATTAGAATTAAACCCAGATCTGATTATTTTTAGGTTAGTGATTTTTTCCTAATATATTGTACCGCTGAAGAATAAAACAGTAGATCAAGGAAGAAAGAAAGAACTTGCTTGTTAATTTGCTAGTATTTAAAATGACCTCCATCCAGGGCACCTGGGTGGCTCAGTTGGGTTAAGCGACTGCCTTCGGCTCAGGTCATGATCCCAGGGTCCTGGGATCGAGCCCTACATCGGGCTCCCTGCTCAGCGGGAAGTCTGCTTCTCCCTCTCCCACTCCTCCTGCTTGTGTTCCCTCTCTCACTGTCTCTCTCTCTCTCTCTCTGTCAATTAAATAAATAAAATCTTTAAAAAAAAAATTATAAAATGACCTCCATCCGTAGATTGCAATCTTATCATTTAGTTGCTTCTGTAACCCCCTTGGTCTTCCATAAATTAATGGCAAAATCAAGCCTTTGGGCTATTGTCCTGATATCCTAGTCACAAGATTTTGCTGTACTGAGGCATCAGAATAAAAGCTTCTGAAGTTCTTTCACAAAAATCCCATGTTTCCATGTTGTTTAGCCCTAATGTGAAATGTTTCATTTAGAAAAAAAAGAGTGCTATGGTATAAGGAACTGGGAGCAAAGAATTATTATAAAAACATATGCAAGAGCTCGGGAAAAGACCGGTAATTGAAAAGTTAGTGCATTTTATAGATGAATTACACAGGAAACTTAGTTAGGAATGGGGTCTGTAGGATAGAGAGATGTTTTTTTAAGAGTCCCACAAACGATGCTAAGAAGCCATCTACCCCAGATAAGTAATACTAGATTAGGAAATAGCAGGACAGAGCAGATGAATAAGGTGTTAAGTTTTAATTCATTATTTTATATTTTATCCTGAAGATGAAAATTCCTTAGGGAAGGAGAAGAAAATAGAGTGATATGTTTGTATTGGTTAGATTGTGCAGAATATTTCAGAACAAGTTGAAATCATAGAGTGGAATGTATTTCAAAAAGGTTGTTTTTATCAGTCCAAGCATTCAGTCTCAAAAAGGAAAAAGGTACAGTAAGAGAAGAGCTCACGGAGGAAAATTAGAGGGAAGGGAGAGTGGGAAACGAGGACCCTCTAAGGAATAGAGGAGATAGCAATGAGGAAATGAGTGCAACCTTGAATCTGAACCAAAGTTAGAGAAGAACTAACTCCAGATAGCGGCGGGGTGAGAGCCTCCTGAGTTCTGTGTGGCAGGCTTCATGCTGGATGCTTTACTTGTCTTTTGTCATGTAATTTTCACCGCGGTCCTGGAAGGTAGGCAGCTCTTATCTTTATTTCATAGATAAGGAATGAGGAAGGAAAGTTTCTGAGTGGTCAAGATAGTAACCTTCAGTGACCACTGAGATAAGCTTGAAAAAGGCCAGCTGGGAATAGAAACTTCTGAATCTGACTCTGAGGTGTCATCGTTTTATATGTAAGAAGGCAGTTTCTGTTACAGTGTCTGAAGTCAGTCGAAAGGGAAGCAAGTAAGGAGAGGGAGGAGCACAAGAAGATAGGCTTTTCACTGAATTTGGTTACAACGGGACTACTAAGGTTGGAGAGACCAGAATTGAATGATGGCCCTTTGGAGATGAGAGAAAGAGGAATATTCCTAGCAGTACATTTGGGCAAATGCCCAAGGGGCCAGGACAGGACAGAATCAAGGTAGAAAGAAACTGTTGGGGCTAAGTGTGTGCATAAAAGTGGAGGTATTTTTTTTTCACTGAATAATATTCCAAAGTCAAATATATATAATTAGGGAATTGCCCCCTTTAAATGCTTTTATTGCCTTTATTATTGCATCTAATTGAGAGTTGGCAACATTGTTATAAAGTTTTCGTGAGCATATGTTCACTTAAGCAAATATTAGTTGAAACTCACACTGTGGAAATAATTGGATTACTTTTAGAGAATTTCTGGCTCCACATTAATAAGAAATAAGAATTTAAGTAGTAGTCTGTAAAGAGGGGCCATTAGAGCAAGGCAAGAGAAGAACTTTCACTCAACTCTTTTTACTCTAGTCTCAGTCGTCCCATTTTCACCAAATGCTCCAGGTAATTTTACCCACCAAATGCTCCTCCTTCCTCCAACTTTTGGTTCAGTCTTCCACACCTTTCCTGCCTTCCTCACTCCACAGAGTGGTAAATCACAGTCATTAGTGAGATTGTAGCATATGCCCAGGTATGTGGAGATGGGGAAAAGATTAAGAATCACTGGACTTCTATGTAGAAGACCTAGGGCTAGGTCTTGATTTTGATACTAGCACTTAGTAATATTAATCCATTTGAGCCTGTTTTTTCATATTTAAGATAAATTACTGCTTGTACTAGGCATGAAAAATTAGGTGGCTGCTACAACCACAGTCCCCTGTGTAGTTGTTTGCACACATGCTGTGTACCATGTCCCTAATACCTAATCCCAGGAGGACCTGACAAAAGGCAGTCAATCACCAGCTGGCTATTGGCATATGAAGGGGTGTGTTAGAAAGTTCTTCTTTACTGGGGTATCCTATATATTTGATGATGACTGGCCAAAATCAGTCTTATTCCATCTTGCATGTTTGAAACTTGAGACAAACCAGAAGTGGTAGAAGCAGGAGCAAGAGAAGCAGAGTGTTGAGAATAGGGAGCCAGGGATGAACAAATGAACAAAAGCCTACAACATCTGTTTCTGGTTCTTGCTGGCTGCTTTATTAGCTTTGTAGGATCACTGTGGTACTCCTTTTGCTGAAGGTGCTCTGTACCTGGCTGCCTGGCAGAAGGGTGAGCCAGACCAGAGCAGGAGACCTTGGTGAGCTGAAGCAAGCAAGCAAGTTTGGCTTGGGTTTTAACCTTCTTCTTGTACTTTTCTTAAATTAAATTGCTTCATAATTTGCTTTAGAACATTTGTGGCAACACATTAGTGAAAAACCATCCATCAGAGACTATATTTGTGTTCTTTTTTAATGTTCTCCTCCATTTGTATGTCCTTTTCTTTTTCTTCTTTTCTGTCTTCCTGCTTTCTTCCAAAAAGCCTTTTTTTTTTTTACTCCTCCCTTCACTTCTTTCATACACTTCTGTCTCTTGGTTCCTTCTGGCTTCTTTTGGTTTTATTGGTTGAACATTTCAATGCAGAATGATTCGACTTCTCTGGGCTACAGACATTACTAGTTACGGAAGGCATATGAAAGAGCTCAGGACCTCAGTTCTGGCAGTGAAGGTGCAAGCAGCTACAGCAAAATGTATAATACATCTAGATGGTCATTAGGTATTTTGTGCTTGAGAGCATGGACTGTACTTCATTCATTTTTGCTTCTGTGATACAAAGTGTAGGGGTTTGGCCTATAATATAGTAATCAATGAAGGTTGAATGAATGGGATAGGCCATATTGAACTGGCCTGTAATTTAATTTTATTATTTCCTTTGTATATATAGAAAGGACCATAGCTACAAATATCTAGTTATCCCTCAGGTCACACAAAAATTTTTAATCAACACCTTTAATTTTCCTTTTTGCTCATTTAGGGGAAAAGGCCCAAATACTTAAATATCAAGGAACCTCCTAAAACATAAGTACTGGGGCTAAAGTTGTTTAATTTGTATCTGCCAGTTTTTGTATCATCATCATTAATTAGACTTAAGTTTTTAACAAACATATTTTAGTATTTATAAAAAAATTTGAAAAACCAAGACTTGTTTCAAAATATTTTCAGACATCATGTTCAGTAATTCAACATGAGTAATAATAATACTTTCTGAATTTAATTTTCCTATGATTAATTTCTTGGTAACGTTTTTCAAGGGATTTAAATATGTCATAAATTCATTTTAAGGCTTTAGTTTTTTATTTGTAAAATGTTGTATGTGCCTGGCAAATAATAGTTCACAGGGAATATACATATGTGAAGATGAAAAAAAAATTTTTTTTTAGCATAAATAATAACAAAAACATTCGCACTGTTCACATTCAAGTATTGGTAAGTTAAGCTTCCAGAGGAAACTGCTGAGATGTACATTTTTAGATTCTTGGCTTTAATGTTCAAAATAAATGACTTTTGTGGTCAAGTCCTGCTCTTAATACTTTGTTTTTAATATTGACTTATACTTATGAAAATTACTTATGTTTTAGTCACATGTTCACCAAGAACCAAGTAAGAGAATTCCTTCTTGGAGTGGTCGCCCAATCTGGATGGAAAAGATGGTAATGTGCAGAGTAAAAGTTCCACACACATTTGCTGTTCACTCTTACACCCGTCCCACAATATGTCAGTACTGCAAGCGGTTACTGAAAGGCCTCTTTCGCCAAGGAATGCAGTGTAAAGGTAGGATTGGTTGTTATTCTTAAGTACAATTCAAATGTTTTCATTAGCAAATTTGGTTCAAAACGTTTATTTCAGAAGTGTTAGGCAAAGAAATTGGTTTCCTAGCTGTTAACTTAAAAATTAAGACAGTACATGCATACACACACGTACATATTTATTAACAACTGCTCTCTGCAGTATATGTGCTGTGTACCAGGAATTACGCTGCAGAAAAGTTAGAATCTAAACAGAAAAGTTAGAATTTGGTTCTGTAAGGTATCATTGCTTAACACGAGCCAGTATGGGACAGTTAGTAAGCAGGTAAGCAGGTATTTGAGTTTAAAAAAAGTATTTCTGATTTCAGAGCCAGATGCCACCCAAAATAAAAAATAATGCTTTCCTCTTTCCTTTAAATATTCATACTCACAAACAAACATATTACAAGAGTATTATTGTTTTTGTTTTTAATTATGTAGCTAGGAGAGCTTATCAAAACTGTTATTCCACATTATAATCACACTGAAATAGGAAAAATAAAGCAGAAGCCACTGGAATTGTGATAGGGATTATCCATGTTTGGATACAAAGCCAGAACACCATCAAAATATTCTAGAGACATCTCTTAATGAACCAGGTTTTTAATAGAATACTGGAATATTTTTTCCTATAGTTGTGGAATGTTTTTATGCTTTTTAAAGATGATTTTATCTTTTTGTCTCATAACTTCTTTACAACAATGTTGTACAATATAGTGAAAACAATGTCTTATTAATTATTGAGCCAGTATGCAGTATAAGTAGCCTGTCTATAATCCTGTGTACTTATTTTTTATGTGATTATTTTAACAGTTCTTGGTATCAGACCTTTTATATAATAGATGTAGTTGTGGAATTGAATTATCTAATTTCATCTAATTAAAACATTAGAGTTGAGGTCTTTGCAGCAATAAACCTATTTACAATACAGAATCAAGTTAGTTATATATAAATTTAACTTAAGTATATAAGAAAACTTGTCTTGGCAACATATGGCAACATAGGAGAACATCAAATAGAGAACGGGTTGTGCCTTTGTTGCCAGGTATTTAATAACTAGCAGACAGGCATAATTAAATGTTGAAATTCTGTTTCAACAACTTACTTTTGAATATGAGTTAATATATAAATTAATACTTTAAAATATCAACACTAAAGTGTATTGGCAAGCAGCCACTAAGGAATGTTTTGGGAAAGAACATTAATAACAGATGTGCAAATTCTAGCCAACAAATAATCTTAGTAAAGGTTGTAAATAGTGCTGCTCTGTTCAACAGGACAGCAACATCCTAAAACCATATGCAGAGCAGTACGATATTTTATAGAGGACCTAAAATAAATATGTAGATTAATGAATTTTGGAAATAAAACCAGTTAACTCTGCCGCTGGGGTATTGGTTTAATTTCTTAGAACTCTAAAAGAATAATGTTGTGTGTTTATATTGGTTCAGAAATATATATATATATTTATATAGCTAAGCTATTTTAATTATCAGTCAAAAACAATCACTTATTTCAGTGATTTCTATATTTTTGTGATATGAATTAAGATGCTTAAAAAGTAGAGGCACCTCAGTGGCTCAGCTGGCTAAGTGTCTGCCTTTGTGTCAGGTCATGATTCAGGACCCTGAGATGGAGCCCTGCATCAGGGGCCCTGCTCAGCCAGGAGTCTCCCTCTCCCTCCGCCCCTCCCCACCTCTCGTGTGCTCTCTCTCAAATAAATAAAATCGTAAAAAAAAAAAAAAAGAGTCATTTTCATTCACCTTGTCAAGGTAAGAAAGAAAAAAATAATTAAAACAGTTACCCTGAATAATTTGAGAAAACATACAGTTCCAAGAGCAGTATTCATTCATTCATTCATTCACCTGTTTATTTCTACTTTGTTATATTAAAACTTCAAGGCAGCTTGAACGCATGTATAAAATATAAGAAAACATAAGTTAATAAAAAAATGAGTAGGCAGGAGGGCACTTGATTTAAGGAGCACTGGGTGTTACATGCAACTGATGAATCACTAAATTCTACCCCTGAAATTAATAATACACTATATGTTAATTAACTTGAATTTAAATAAAATCTAAAAAAAATCCAAAACCATGAGTAGGAGTACAGAGAAATAAAAATGCCTGCCATTCGAAGGTACATACTTGCTCAGGCAGGCCACAAATTTGGCTCTACATTTTCAAAGTGAAAATGGAAATCTTGTTATTGTCACAATTTGTAAAACCTCATGAGATAAAAAGCACATCAATTATTTAAGATAAATGGAATGTATTAATATCATATATCAATTTTTCTAGGGCATTTCATTTAAAAAAACAGTGTTATTTAATACAAGTTTTGTCACCCACCGAATTATTAATCATGGGACTTTTTCTTATAATGACCTTTACCTAATGCTAGTGGTATGATACCCAGAATTTTCTTGAATCACAAGGATTACAAAATCATTCTGAGTCAGGACTTGAAATTATTTTTATCCAGAATTTGCTGGTAGGTGTATTTCCAAGGTAGAAGGTGGTAGTAGACAGTAGTTATAGCAGTGGGTCTCAATTTTGGTTTCACCTTAAAAATTCTTATTAAAACATATTTCTCAGCCCCACTCCCAGAGCTCCTAATGTAATGCGTTTGGGGTGGGGTACAAGAATTTGCATTTCTAACAAGTTGTTAATAATGCGGATGCTACTGGTCTGGGAACCACAGTTTAAGAACTTACTGAGTTACACGGTAGTATTGAACAGCTTGTACCTGACACTCATCTGCAGTACTATCAACTCTGATGTCCTTGCAGGCTAAAGAGAACCATACATAAAGGTGGGAGATCTTGTGCATGAGAAGCTCAGTCCTTCCATGTAAGGCTGTATGGGAAAGCCCATACTAATTCCTAATAAAATCTTGTAGAATCTCAGTCTCTCTTTTCCATATGCACCAGGCCCCAATAATTAGGAACTCAAAGTAAGTGCTTGACATATATTGGAAAAGGAGTCAGCCTGAGAAACTTTTCTTTCTCAGGAAAGACGAATGTGAGGTAATGGAAGGAAACATGGAGCTGCCAGTAACATTTTGGCAATGTGTCATACGAATAGTATTAGCTTCATTAAAGAGATAAACTGAGCCCTGGTAGAAGTGGGGAAGATGGCGGCAGAGTAGGAAGAACCTAGGCTCACTCGTCCCATGAATATAACTAGATGATAACTACCAAAGCATCCTAAATACACCAGAAATCTACCTGAAGACTGTAGAACAAACTCCACAACTAAATGTAGAGGAGAGGCCACAATGAAGAAGGTAGGAAGTACAGGACACGGTTTAGAGGAGAAATGGATCCCGGTTGCTGCAGAAGAGAGGGGAGCCACAGAGAAGGGCAAGAGAAGAGCACTCAGGAATGCACAACGAGAATGCTTCCCCATCCATGGGCTTGGAAAGCAAGAGGGGTTAAATTTCGTGGGTTCTTGCAGCCAGAGGGGCTTGAAGCCTGAAGTTGTGTCGGTAGACTGGACTCCGAGAGAGTCCAGAGGCATCAGGGAATCTAGAGGCATCAGGGCTGCTCTTGGCGAAGCAGGCACACAACCCCAGGGACACACAGTGTGGAAACAGTGATCTGAAGAGTGCCTGGGGCACACAGTGAGGAGTTTATTGGCTCTTCTCAGAGCCTGCCCCTGAGAAGCAGCATTTATGAGAGACCTCTCTGGGAACATGGGAGCTGGCTGGCGCCATTTCTCTCCTCTGCCATTCAATGGTGATAGATCAGTGGAACAGAATAGAAAACCCTGAAATGAACCCACTGATGAACCCACTGATTCATCAGTTGCATGTAACACCCAGTGCTCCTTACATCAGGTGCCCTCCTGCCTACTCATGTTAATTTTTAACAAAACGGGAAAGAATATCCAATGGGAAAAAGACAGGCTCTTTAACAAATGGTGTTGGAAAATTGGACCATTCTCTTTCACCAAATACAAAAATAAACTCAAAATGGATTAAAGACCTAAATGTGAGACCTGAAACCATAAAAATCCTTGAAGAAAGCACAGGCAGTAATGTCTCTGACATCAGCCATAGGAGCTTTTTTTTAGATGTGTCTCCTGAGGCAAAGGAAACAAAAGCAAAAATAAACTATTAGGACTATATCAAAATAAAAAGCTCTGCACAGCAAAAAAAACAATAAAACTAAAAGGCGGCAACCTGTGGAATGGGAGAAGATCTTTACAAGTGACATATCCCATAGGGGTTAGTACCCAAAGTATATAAAGAATTTATACAATTCAACACCCCAAAAATGAATCCAATTAAAAATGGGCAGAAGACATGAATAGACATTTTTCCAAAGAAAACATTCAGATGGCTAACAGACACATGAGAAGATGCTCAACATCACTTATCAGGGACATGTAAATCAAAAGAGATGTCACCTCACACCTGTCAGAATAGCTAAAATCAACAACACAAGAAAGAAAAGGTGTTGTCGAGGATGTAGTGAAAGAGGGGAACCCTCTTGTACTGTCGGGGGGTGGGAATGCAAACTGGTACAGCCACTCTGGAAAACTGTATGGAGGTTCCTCAAAAAGTTTAAAAGAGTTAAAAGTTAAAAATATAATCCAGCAATCCCACTACTAGGTATTTATCCAAAGAATATAAAACTACTAATTCAAAGGGATACATGCACCTTATAGCAGCATTATTTACAATAGCCAAATTATGGAAACAGCCCGTGTCCATTAGTTGGTGAATGGATAAAGAAGAGGTAGTGTATGTATGTATGTACACACACACACACACACACAATGGAATATTAATCAGCCACAAAAGAGAATGAAATCTTGCCGCGTGCTAGATGGAGCTAGAGAGAATTATGCTAAGTGAAATAGGTCAGTCAGAAAAAGACAAATACCGTATGATTTCACTCATGTGGAATTTAAGAAATAAAAACGAGCAGAGGGAAAAAAAAAGACAAACCAAGAAACAGACTCTTAACTATAGAGAACTAACTGATGGTTACCAGAGAGTAGGTGAGCAGTCGGGGGCACGGGGTGGGGGGTTTGTAAACTAGGTGATGGGGATTAAGGAGGGCACTTGTGATGAGCACCAGGCATTGTATGGAAGTGTTGAATCACTATATTGCACACTTGAAACTCATATTACACAATGTTAACTAGCTGGAATTTAAATTAAAACAAAAAAAAAACTGAGCCCTGAGGAGTTAAATACCTGTTAAGGGGTGGCATCATAATTTGAAACCAGACCTTTATTCCCAGACTTGAGTTCTTAGTAAAGGAAAACTTTAAAAAGTCTCTAACCATATCTTATACTGCCTGACTTATTACATAAATTAATAAACCAAATAACTTGATTTCAGATTGTAAATTCAATTGCCATAAACGCTGTGCATCAAAAGTACCAAGAGACTGCCTTGGAGAGGTTATTTTCAATGGAGGTAAAATTCTTTTTCTTAATTTCCATAAAAGATCAGAGAAGATCACAATTCTTTTGTGTATTATCTTTGTATAAGGTTATATTTGCATATTTTATTTTACTTTGTTTCTTAACTTTGACTTTTTTTAGTTAATAAACAAAAAGCGACATCAGTTATGGTACACTTTTATTAGTCATTATGCCTTCCCATCTTTCCTTTAACCCACCTACCACTTTGTAGTCTCATATTGCCAGTGGTGCTGCATATTCTCTTCCATCTTAGACAAAAAAGACTTAACTTTAACACCCTGCTGTTGTCCCTAGAGGTTTTCATAGTTCTAGTACTTACTGACTGCCAGGCGCTGTTCCACACTCTTTACGTATATTGACATTTAAACCTAAGAACAGCCCTTTGAGTTAAGTACTTACAGATGAGTAAACTTGGGCACAAGGACATTAAATAACTTGCCCAAGAAATGTAGCCAGAAACTTACAGTGTTAGGATTTGAACCCACATGTTCTGGTCCCTGAATCCACAGTCATTAATTAGAACACATTATACTGCCTCCCTGTTTCTTTCTCCATCAGTCATTCCCTAGACATTTTCCCTTGTGTGCTGTTGTTTTTTTTTCTTTCCTCATTTCAAGATTATATTAATTGAAGTGATTACCTTTTTGGAAGGAAGAAGTAATGATTCTAAGCATAATTTTTCTTTAACATTTACATGACTGGTAAAAATTGAATGTAAGTAGTTCTATAGGAGGAAAAGCATAAGGAATGGAAATTAAATTTCTTAAGACTTTAATGTTTTCTTTAATGGCATGTTTTTTATAGTTGCTGTTTAACACCGTCGATAGCGTGATTGGTTTTCTCATTTGGGTTACTCTGAATAAATGTAGGTTTTCTATAGACCAAAGTCTTCTCTAGATTTATGGTTCATGTCTTTTTGCACTTTTCTACTGTTGGATAAGTGAGTATCAAATACTATTTATATTGATTTTACGGTACATTTGTATACTAATGAGTTTGAACATCTTTCATATGTTGACTGGTTACTTACAGTTTTTTCTCCTGTAAATTACCTGTTCACATGTTTTGTCCATTTTTCTGTTTGTTATTGATTTGCAGGGAGTTGTTGATAATTCTACCTAATAATTCTTTGTCAGTTATAGTGGACACATACACCTTCTCTGTTGTGGCTTATCATTTTTTTAAGTAGCTTTATTCAGATAGTTTTTGTACTTTACACATTTAGTTTATTCACAAAGTTAGGCAGCCATCATTACAGTCCAATGGTGGGACAATTTCATCACCCTGAAAAGAAACTGCATATACTCTAGTAGTCACTCCTCACTCTTCCTCACCAGGCCCTGGCAGCTGCCATCAACTTTCTATCTCTGTGGGTCTGTCTATTCTAGACATTTCATATAAATGAAATCATATAAGGTGTAGTCTTTTGGGACTAGTGTCTCACATAGCTTAATGTTTTCAGGGTTCATCCATGTTGTAACATGTATCAATACTACCTTCTGCTTTGTCGAGAATAACATTCCTCTGCATGAATATACCACATTTTATTTATCAGTCGATGGACATTTGAGTTGTATCCACTTTGGGGCTATGATGAATACTACTATGAACATTTGGATACAGTTTCTGTAGACATACGTTTTCATTTCGCTTGGGCAGATATCTAGTTGTGGAATTGTTGAGTCATGTGATAACTGCATGTTTAGCATTTGGAGGAGGACTGCCAGACTGTTTTCCGGAGCAGCTGTACATTTTACATTCTCACCAGCAGTGTGTGAGGATTCTGATTGCTCCGCATGCTCACCACCACTTTTTATTGTCCGTCATTTTGGCTGTTGCCATCCTAGTGAGTGTGAAGTGATAGCTCATTGTGGTTTTGATTTGCATTTTGCTGATGGCTAATTGATACGCACATCTTTTCACATATCTGTTGGCCATTTTTACATCTGCTTTGGGGAATATCTATTATTCCTGTCCTTTGCCTGTTTAACTGGTTATTTGTTTATTATTGAGTCGTAAGAGTTCTTTAAATATTTGGGATACATGTCTCTTATTTGATATATGTAAATATTTTTCCCCTTTTTTGGGCTGTCTTTTTACTTTCTTGAGGTATCATTTGCAGCACAAAATCAAGTCCAATTTTTTCTTTTGTCACTTAGGTTTTTGGTGTTCTATCTAGAAGGCTTTGCATAACCCAAGGTCACAAAGATTCACTACTATGTTTTCTTTTAAGAATTTTATAGAGTTAGCTCTTACATTTAGACCTGTGATCCACTTCAAGCTTTCTATTTGGTTTAAAAAAGAGGTCCAATTTCATCTTTGTGCATGTAGATATCCAGTTGTATATCCAGCACCAGTTTTTAAACAGACTATTCTTTCCCCAACAAATTGCCTTGGACCCTTGTGGAAAACCACTTAACTCAACAAACAATAGTGGTGGCTAATCTTTTACTTTGTTTTAATATCTTTTGTCATATAGAGATTTAAATTCTAAATAATCAAATTAATTTTCTGCCTTGTGGTGTGTGAATTTTATATCTTCCTCAAATACTACTTTATCTTGAATCATAAAGATACTTTCCTAGAGTTTCATTAAGAGTTTTAAAGCTTTTTTCCCCACATTTCATATACTCTTTTCTATTTAGATGGATTGATCTCCCATTAATATAAAACTCTGAATTCATTTTAAACTTTGCCAGAACCTTCCAGTCTGGGAGCAGATACAGATATACCAATGGATACTGATAGCAGTGACATGAACAGTGATGGTAGCCGGGGCTTGGATGACATAGAAGAACCATCTCCTCCAGAAGATAAAATGTTCTTCTTGGATCCATCCGATCTTGATGTGGAAAGAGATGAGGAGGCTGTGAAAACAATCAGGTAGCACATGTCACGGATACAGGGTCAGTCCAGGCACTCCCTTGAGAAAGAATCTCTTTAAATGGAACCTAAAATGTAATTTAAAATCTAATTAAATTGTTGCTAATTCTTTTACATGCACCACAGGATTTCTGAAATAAATTATATCACTTATGCCATCTACTCAACATGGGAAGGTGTGAAAATCATTGTTTTCTTGAAGAGAAAAACACTTTATTTAAATATAGTCAAGAAGTGATATCTCACTGTGGAGCAGCCACCACAAGGTGTCAGAATTGAACTATCAGTTAAAGCAACCAGTTTCTTCATACAGGCAGATTATTGGACGTTAGAAACACCAGTACAAATGTATACCTACAAATGTTGCGCAGAGATGATGGTGATGAATTTGTGAGTGGTTAATTAGACTATTAGCACTTTGTAAAAAAGCTATTGGATTATAAAACTTCTAAATATCCCCTTATGTTTATAGAAATTCAGTTTTTCTATATATACAGCTTTATAGGATGTACTACTTTGTAATAAAATGTTAATATTTTGGCAGGTTTTGTTTTTCATTGGCAACCAGGAGGAATTTAGAGAAAATGGATCATTTATCAATCTCACACGGCTGGGTGGTCATTCATTCATTTTGGCTTATCATTAGATTACAGCTATTACTATCATTCTCATTCTGAACTAAAATTTAATGTTTACCCAGTTTGGAGACTATCAAGAGAACTTAGCTAGCTTCCTAATCATGAATACATCATAATTTAAGAGAATATATTTAACTGAGACTGAAATTGAAAAACCATGTGTTTTTCACACATACCCCAAATTGTTCTTTTCCTCTAGCTATGCTGTTCCTGACCCATGTTTCCATATTACCTGATTTGACTCGGTGCATTATTTTTTTTATTTTCTTAATTGTTATCTGTAAATCATTTTCTTTTCAGTGTCTTCTACTAGAAATACTTTTTGCTAACAACATGAATAATGGAATCTGACATTTGAACCCTGTAAATTTGGGTATAGGTATACTTTTTACCTTGTTATGAATTTACTAATTAACCATGCTGCCTAGGGCAAAAGAAGCTTTCTCAACAGCAATCCCAAATGAGACCCTCCCCCAGGTTTCATATCTTCCAATTAGGGAGGATTCTTTCTGCTCTGTGCATTGTTTTGTGTTATGACCCATCAAAAAATATTGATGACAAATAATGAGGACTTGCAGTATTATCTTAGTCTTTTATAAATCAACTGTGTATCATCATAATGGGATTATTTTCTTAAGCTATTTCTCTAAGATATTTCGAAAAATTTTAGCTCAATTATCTTAAAAAGGGCTAAAGAGTTTACAGTATTTATATGATTTTTTAAAAATTGAAATTATCAATATTTTATCATAAATTCTAAATGTTTTTTAGTCCATCAACAAGCAGTAATATTCCGCTAATGAGGGTTGTACAGTCCATCAAGCACACAAAGAGGAAGAGCAGCACGATGGTGAAGGAAGGGTGGATGGTCCATTACAGCAGCAGGGACACCCTGGTCAGTAAACACAGACATTGTAATATGGTAGTGAAACTTTGTTATATGCTTTACTTTATGCATTTTTAAAATCAAAATAACGAGATATATATTAAGACATTTTAGTAAACTGGAACTGTAGTTACGTTTGTAAAGAGTTTTCAAAAGGCAAAACTTTGAAATATTTTTACAAATTAGTAGAGCAATAGAGATTCAGACAGTATCTGGGGATACAACACCAAATACAGAATCCGTGAAAGAAATAATTGATAAGATGGACTTCATTACAGTTAAATCTTCTGCTCTGCAAAAGACAGTGTCAAGAGAATAAGACAAACACAGACTAGGAGAAAATATTTGTAAAAGAGACATCTGATGAAAGACTATTCTCCAAAATATACAAAGAACTCTTAAAACTCAACAGTAAGAAAACAAACAACCCAATTAAAAAATGAGTCAAAGACCTTAACACATACCTCACCAAAGAAGATATGCAGATGGCAGATAAGCATATGAAAAGATGTTCCATATCACATGTCACCAGGGAAATGCAAATTAAAACAGCAGTGGAATACCACTACACACTGATTGGAATGGCCAAAACCTGGAACACTGACACCACCAAAGGCTGGCAAGGATGTAGAGCAACACAGACTTTCTTTCATTGCTGGCGGGAATGCAAGATGGTATAGACACTTTGGAAGACAGTTTGACGGCTTCTTACAAAACTGAACATACTCTGACCATATGATCTAGCGGTTGCCCTCCTTGGTTTTTACCCAAAGGATATGAAAACTGTGTCCACACAAAAACCTGAATATGTATGATTTCAATAGCTTTATTCATAATTGCCAAAACTTGGAAGCAACAGGATGTCCTTCAGTAAGTGAATTGACAAATAAACCATAGTACATCCATCCGGATGATGGAATATTATTCAGTACTAAACAGCAATGAGCTATGAAAAGACAGGAAGGAATCTTAAATGCATATTACTAAGTAAAAGAAGCCAAAGTAAAAACTACATACATACTGTATGATTCCAACTATATGACATCTGGAAAAAGCAAAACTATGGAGACAGTAAAAAAGATCAGAGGTTGAGGGTAGGGGACAGGTAGGCATGAATACGCAGAAAGAACACAGAATTTTTAAGGCAAGGGAAACACTCTATAAAATACTCTATAAAGTAAAATGATGGAAACCTGTCATTACACATTTATCCAAACCCATAGAACGTACAACACCAGAGTGAACCATAACGTAAACTCTGGACTTTGTGATTATGATGTGAGGTGTAGGTTCATCACTTGTAACAAGTGTACCACTCTGAATGAGGATGTAGATAATGGGGAGGCTATGTATGTGCAGGGGGCAGGGAGTATATGAGAAATCTCTATACCTTCCCTTTAATTACGCTGTGACCAAAAATGGCTAAAGTCTTCATTTTAAAAAATAAAGAGACACGTAAAAAAAAAAAAAACACGTCAAAAAAACAAAAGCAAAGACAAATGACACACTGGGAAAAGTATTCTGAAGTCATAATTCAGACAAGGATTAATTTCATTATATGTAAAGGATGATGACAAATTGATCAGAAAAAGACCACAACAGTCAAAAGAATGGGCAAAGAATATCAGCAGAGTTCACAGTCAGGGAAATACAAATGACTCTTAAACACAAGAGCTTGATCTCGTTTTTAATAAAAAGTACAATTTAAAATTTCACGGAATTACCAGGTTTTATTTATCAGTGTAGCCAAGATCAAAAAGTTTAGTAACATAACTACATTAGTGAGAGTAAACAGGTACTCGTGTTGCTGATGAAACTATAAATTGGGTCAAATCTTATGAAGGGTGATTGACACTGTCAAGCAAAATTACATGTGTATATATCTTTTGAGCCAGCGAGCCAGATTAGAAATGTAGCCTATAGGTAAATTACGTATCTGCACATGTGTACCACGTATGTATTTGAGTGTGCATGCATAAAATTCTCTAAAAGGATTCCCCGAAACCTACTACCATTGCTTACCTGGAGTAGGGTGGGAGTAGGCTGTGAGTGGTGGTGGGAGTATACTTGTCACTCTATATATCCTTCTTATATTTGCAGAATTTTGACCCTCATGAATTTTAAACCTACTCAGAAATACAAACTTATGAATAGAAATGAAAGGGAAAGGAAAGGTACAGGTACTTTGGAGGAATCATTATTCTTATACCTCAAAGTTTTATACCCTTTATTTTATAGAGAAAGAGGCATTACTGGAGACTGGACAGCAAGTGTCTAACATTGTTTCAAAATGAATCTGGATCAAAGTATTATAAGGTAAAGATTCCACATTTTGAAAAATATGTACATTGAAATACTGTATATTTTCCAAATATTCAAATAATCATTATATTGGCATATACTTATTATGACTCTGCCTAATACCATGTATAGAAGTCACGGTTAAGTTCGTTGTTGAAATAATTGTCCCACACCCCTCCATTTCACCCCTCACAATAGCCCTGCTACCCAAGGTTGTTTTTTGTCGTGTGTTCCTTTGGTTTTGGCCTACTTGTCAGGTTGCTACTGATTGCCTTGTGGACACTATGATTTAGATTGGGCAGTTCAGTAAGTCCCATGATCGTTGCCTGTCCAGAAGACGCCAGTGTGGTATTTGGTGTTCTCCACTGGTCCATTTTGTCTTAGGCCCCTGAATCCCAAAAGCTTCTTCTTCACCTTCGTATAGTCGTCTTTGCTTGGCTTGCTCCACACTTTGCCATGTCCCAGACGGACACCAAACAAAATTGTAGACTGTAGCAATTATATCCTTAAGAAAGAGAACAGAAACTAATGACTTGCTTTGATCTGGTTGGGTTAAGTACTTTTTTTTTTGCGTTAGGAAGTGGACTACATGTAAATACTTGTTACATTTATGGGCAGAACCAGACGGAATGCTTGAACAACCTATACTAACATTCTACTTTGGCTCTTATTTTTCCTTTGTTCCCCTCTGAGGGCTGTATCGTGCAGAGAGCTGCTGGTAGAGAAGTAATTGCTGAGTTGATTTAATGACAAATTAGAAAGTGACAAGTGTTGGATACAGTGGCAGTTACCCTCCACGATGCTCTCCATCCTTGCAGTCCTCCTGCTGCAGGCCTGAAGCACTGGCTTAGTTATTATATTCCACGCTCAGCCCTCAGCATTGTTGGGTATGCAGATCATTCAAGGCAGATATTATCCTAAGACTTGACTATGTGTTCCATGTACCACATACTTGTGTTCATCTTAATGCATTCATTAGAAACGCATATCTCTGCTTAGTGTATTTGAAAATAAAAACAAAGATGTATTCATATCTTTTAATGCTTAATTTTTTACTTCAGGAAATTCCACTTTCAGAAATTCTCCGCATATCTTCACCACAAGATTTCACAAACATTTCACAAGGCAGCAACCCACACTGTTTTGAAATCATCACTGATACTATGGTATACTTTGTTGGGGAGAACAATGGGGACAGCTCCCACAATCCTGTTCTTGCTGCCACTGGAGTTGGAGTTGATGTAGCACAGAGCTGGGAAAAAGCAATTCGCCAAGCTCTCATGCCTGTTACCCCTCAAGCAAGTGTTTGCACTTCTCCAGGGCAAGGGAAAGATCACAGTAAGCAATAAACTTGTTGATGGCTTTCTCCCCTTCTGGTTCTTAAGCATTTTGTGGGTGTGGTTGTGTTTCTGCATGTATTTCTTTTTCTTTTTCTTTTTTTAAGTTTTATTTATTTATTTGAGAGAGAGAGAGAGAGAGCATGAGCAGGGTGGAGGGGCAGAGGGAGAAGCAGACTCCCTGCTTGATCTCGACCCCAGTCCCGACCCCAGAAGTCCGGGATCATAACCTCAGCCAGAGGCAGATGCTTAACCGACTGAGCCACCGAGGCGCCCCCTGTATGTATTTCTAATGCCCACTTTAAGCTTCATCTGTACTAACCGATATTGTTAGTTAATTCCTTTATATAGTTATGTTAGTTATAACGTATCCATACAATCCCCAGAGCTAGGTTCCAGAGTCAGTCTCCCTACATTCAAATCCTGGTTCTGCCAACCTGTTATATGATCTTAGGCAAAACCTTACCTCTCTGTAATAGTACCTACTTTATAGGCTTGTCAGCATTAAAGGAAAGAGAACCAGTAAGGGATAGAACAGCGTTTGGTATCCATGAACTCTCACTGAATTAAGCAAACTCCTAGTATTTTGCTTCATGGTGAGATACAAACAGGTGATAAAGTACTATGGTTCACATCATACTTGTGAAATCTATGAAGTCAGAAATGCTGTTTTTCTTTTAACTGAATTAAAACATTCAGAAATACTAAAAAATTACTGAAACACGTTCTTTGCACCAACAAAACTTATAAAATAAAACCTAAATTTGATAAAGGATCAAGTGAAAGCCATTATGTGACTTTTATGCCATTGGTGTTGTTATTTATGGGGAAACATCATTCATTAGACAAATATATTTAAATCAAAATAAGTATCAACCAGTTCCTAAATGTACTTTATATCAGTTCAGCTGTATTATTTCATGCACCCATTCTTGGCATAATGCTAGGCTCTGAGCTAAAAACACAGAAATTAAGGGAGATAGGACATACAAACGTAAGTGTTAAGTGGTAGCATAAGGGAGTAGAATGCAGAAATGAGTAATGCATTACTTGGGGGATGCAGATATGGATAGGAGGAGTAAGCAGAGACTTCATGATAGAAAAAATCTGATTTGAACCTTGACCTTGGATCTCAAGTAGGTTAGGATAGGAAAAATTAAAAGGGAAGGGTGGAGGGGCGGTAGTGTTACTCTAGTTAAGGAGACGGCTATAATCAAAGGGATGAAAGTAATGACCGTGAACATGTTTGGGGTTTAATATTGATTCTTAGAGGATGAATTAGATGGATATTTACAGTGCTTCTTAAGTTTTGGGGGATTTTAGACAGAACTCTGATATCGTAATTAAAGCCATAGACCTTTTCCCCCAGAAAATAATACAGGGACGTAAAGACAAATTTTATGTATTACTGGACATAGTAAGTAACCTCCATTCTCCAGCCCATCCGCAGACCTCCTCTCTCGGGTTAAGAGTCTCTAAAAGCAGAATTGTGGAAGGGTTAAGAGTGAGGATGCTAGAGAATGAAAGCACAGTCGCCACTTACTGGCTGTGTGATCTTGGTGTCTGCGGTTACTAATCTAAAGTGGGAATAATAATAAACGCATATAATGCACTTAGCCCAGTTCCTGACATGTGAGTAATACTATGACTGGGTTGTTGGCTGCTTGCTGCTGCTTCTGGAGTGGAGTTCTGGGAAGCAACAGAGAATAAAACTAGGTGGAGCTAGACAGTGGAGGCCTTTGAAACACAATCAGTATTGACTTACAGAGGAAAATGGAACGACTGAAAAACAAAGCTTTAGACACCTTAATATCGTCGATACTGTGTCTTTTTTGTTCATTAATATTTAATATTTGAGTTATTTAAAATACTTTTAAGATTGACTTAATATTTTTAAATGCAGTCTTTGACAGTCATGTTACTTATTTTTGACGTATAGTATGCTTACATTTTCTTCTAAATTTTTATATTAGGGATCATAAAGGAAATATCACATCTTGCTTCTTTGAGTTCTCTCTGAGATTCTAGATGTTTGAGACCTAGTCTCTTACTTTCCATGTGGCCCTTTTCTCTTTTTTGTCAGTTACTTCCTTTGCTTACCAAAGTAATATAGACATATAAACTTTACAGTAATATGGAATATAAAATGAGAAAGTCCTTCCTGTACACTTGTATCACACCCCCTTATTCCTGCTCCTATATCTCCCCCCTCAGAAAACCATTATTAACAGTTTGGTGTGTATTTCTTGGTTTGGGGAGAAGGGAAGCTGATATTATCTATACTGTATTGTTATATTTTTATTTTTACAAAAAATGTCATACTCTGTTCTTTTTGCAGCTTGCTTTTAGCCACTATTTAATTAATGTGTATCAGATGTATTTCAGTGTCAGTATATAATCTAATTTATCTAATTTTCTACTATTAAAGTAATGCGTGCTTTTTATGTTTTAGAAAATGCAGGCAGTATAGAAGTATATAAAGACTAAAGTCTTTGTTCCCCAACCCTTACTCTCATTCATGAGAAGTATCATATTTTCTTTGTTTTTAATTCAAATACTGCTGCCTTACAACTTGCCCTTCTAACTTAATGTGCCATGGATAGCTTTCTAACTCAGTATGGATAGCTCTACACCATTAATTGTTTAGATAGTATTTCTTTGTATGGATGTATCATATTTTATTTGACCAGTTTCTTGTTGATGGGTTGGTATTGTGTGTGTGGATAAATTTTTTCAAAGAACATAATTTTATTAACTGTATGTTAGCCAGTTTTTTAAAATTTAATATAGTGTGGGCATTCATATGTGAGCAAATTGTTAATATTAAGTCATATAACAATTTTGTTCTTTTCTCATACATCATCCTTCTGTTTTACAGAAGATTTGTCTACTAGTATCTCTGTATCTAATTGTCAGATCCAGGAAAATGTGGTAAGTAAAAATTACAGCTAAAATATGCAAATTGGGTAATTAAAATAGGTAAAATAAGATGTGAAAATCTTATTAGAGAAATAAGTTCAAGAGACAAAAAACAAACTTTTAGAATTAGAGAACAAACTGGTGGTTGCCAGAGGGGAGGTGGGTGGGGGGATGGGTGAAATAGATAAAGGGAATTAAGAATACATGTATCTTGATAAGCGCTAAGAAACATTTAGAATTGTAAATGACTATATTGTACACCTGAAACTAATATAACACTGTATGTTAATTATATTTGAACAAAAAAAAAGTTCATAGGCCACACTATTGAGTACTTGGCCTAAAGACACCAGCTAGATTTTGTGGCTGATAACTACTCTAAGGAGTTGTGTGCTTTATGAAGGAAACTAAGGCAGATTTTTTAAATTGTGAAAATAAAGATAACTTTTTCACAAGTGATAGTAGAATATAACATAGTGATAGACTAGTTCAAAGAGAAGGGAGAGATTACTTCTTGCTGGGTCAGCAGGGAAAACTTCCTCAAGGAAGTGAAACATGAGCTGTGCCCACAAGGATGGAAAGGAATTTCAGTTGAAGTGCAGAGGATGAGGGCAGGGAACAATAGTTCGTGCAAGTACAGGGACTGGGATGGGCAGATGGAGGGAAGCAGGACATACAAGGCTTTTAAGGAATAGTGAATAGAAGTTTGGCTGCTATATGTAGGCATGTATTAGGGATTATGACAGGGGTTAGCGTATTTTCTATAAAGGAATAGGTAATAAATATTTTAGGCTTTGGGGACCATACCCAATTACTTCACTCTGCCATGGTAGTGAGAAAGCATCCATAGGCAGTACATAAAGGAATGAGCATGACTTTGTCCCAGTATAACTGTGTTTATGGACACTTGAATTTGAATTTTATGTAATCTTCACGTGTCAAAAAATACTATTATTTTCCCTTTTTTAACCATTTAAATGTAAAGTCTATTCTTAGATCAGGAGCCTGTACAAAAAGAGCCAACAGGCTAGATTTGGCCTGTAAACTAATTTGCCAACCCTGGATTAGAAAGAAAAAAAGGCTAGAAAAAGAAGTCTTAAAATAGCTCATTGGCTATATATAAATTTCTCTGATAAAAATCTCACCCATCTTTTACTTGGGGCATCCAGCTGTAATAGCTCTCTGTAGCATATAGATGTTGGCTTTTCTAAGACTGCAATGAAGACTGGATATCCAGTAGTGTTCCAGGGAATAGAGGATTTCGAGGAGATGTAATCTGTGTATCTCTTGTCGTAGTGGTAGGTAGATTCTTGGAGAGGGAAAGAGGGATTACACAAACATGAGATCACTAACTTTGAAGGATCCCTGAGAACTTGAGGGACATGCCTATTCATAGCTGAGAAGGGAAAAGGTTCAGAACTGGTCTTTGTGAAGACCTTTTCTAGCAGTTATTATTTGACTAATGGATGTTCCCTCATCTAATTTGATTAGAACAAAAATTTCATTGGTTAAACAAAAAGTTGATTGAAGTTGGGAAGCATATAAAAATGATTCTTATAAAACCTTAAAATTTTCATTATACCTTAAAACATGCATATATGCACATTGATTGATTTGCTTTTGTCACAGGGCTGAGACTTCTTCTTTGAGTATGGGTCTGCTAAGTAGAATTCCACTATGTCTTTCTTGCATCAACCACATTTGTAATGTAGTAATGCAGTTCTGATGCTAATCACCCTGATTTCGTGCAGACTCCACAGGTTAAGGGCACCATTCCTAACAAGGCTGCCCTCCTTGAGACACCAGCCACAAGTGCAGGAGTCCCCAGTTCACCCATACTTCTGACCAACTAGCTACAGAGAGGATTCCCACAAATCCACACTGAGGTTCAGTAATTCACTAGAATGTCTCAGAACCCAGGAGAGTGCTGGACTTATGATTACAGCTTTATTGTAACAAAAATCAGGACCAGCCAACCAAAGACACATAGGGTGCAGTCCGGGAGAGTTCTGAATGTAGAGCTTCTGCATTCTCTCCCTGAAATCAGGACAAGCAAGCAAGCCTACAGCACATTGATCTGTCACCAGCCTGGAAAGTTACCTGGGCCTTAGTGTCCAAAGTTTTTATTGGAGTTTCATTAAGTAGGCATGATTGACTGAATCATTGGCCACATGATTGAACTCAATCTCTACCCCCCCCCCTTGTCCCCCCTGAGTTTGGACTGGTTCAAAGCCTCAACACTAATCACGTGGTTGGTCTTTCTGGTGACCCTCCCCCATCCTGAATCATCTTGTTAGCATAATTCAGGTGTGATCCAAGGGGCTCATGAATAACATAACCTAAGATACTCCTATGACTTTGGAAATTCCAAGGATTTAGAGTCTCTCTCTTAGGAACCAGGGACACAGGCCACTCAAGTTATTATACAACAACACCCATAATGCATTCTCTATAATTTCCACTTTTTGTTTCTTTAAAGTAGAACCAGGGATACTTGTGAAATATTCTGGGAACAGAATCCGCACTCCCACAATCTGGTATTTGTTTTACTCACAAATAAATTGATAGCAGTTGTTTTGGTGTCTCATCTTTATGGAGTTTCTTTTTTTCTTTTTTTTTTTTTTTTTAGATTTATTTCAGAGAGCACAAGCAGGAGGGCCAGAGGGAGAGGGAGAGATAATCTCAAGCAGACCCCACACTGAGCACAGAGCCTAGTGCGGGGCTCGATCTTGATCTCACCACCCTGAGATCACAACCTGAGCTGAAACCAAGAGTCAGACGCTTAACTGACTGCACCACCCAGGCACCTCCTTAATGGAGTTTCGTTTTTTTTGTTTTTTTTTTTGTTTTGTTTTGTTTTTATTAGAGAGAGCACAAGCAGGGTGAGCGGCAGGCAGAGGGAGAAGCAGACTCCCGGATGAGCAGGGAGCCCGATGCAGGACTCGATCCTGGGACCCTGGGATCATGACCTGAGCCGAAGGCAGATGTTTAACCAATTGAGCCACCCAGGCGTCCCTTTTATGGAGTTTCTAAAACTACTTTGTTTTCATAGAAATCTCTCATGTTTCATTGACTTATATAGTATACATATTTAATTTTTTGTGATTAAACTATATAATCTATAACAAGCACATTTGGCATAATGGGTTTGGGAACAAATTCAGTTTTAAGAGTTACTCATTGGGATACCACATCCATTTTATGAGGTTACTGTAGACATCAGTCTACATCATTCTTTTCAGAGGGAATGGAAAGTACAGGTTATTCTGGTGAGTTAGTAAAGAAAAAGTGTTAGGAGAGCCTCTACAAATAAGTGGTACTTATCTGACCCTGATTATGTCCTGAATTATTTATCTTCTTAATATTTTCATGTTTCCCTAATACATCATAAACCTCTTAACTAGGTCTGTTTTACAAATTAGCTACCTTTTACAGAGTCCTCTATACAATTAGGGCTTAATAAATGTTGATGACAGTCATAAAGTCATGGGCATTTTTTAAATTAGGAGGGACCTAGAGATGTAGACCAATACTTTTCCAGATGAGAAAGCCAAGTCCCAGGGAAGTCAGCAATTTAAGATTACCTAATTTAAACGATTTTTATATGCCAGGCCCTGGACTTGACATTTGGTTATATCGTCATTTAATTTACTTAAAAATCCAGTGAAATAGATGTTATTATATCCCCTTTACCAGTGAGAAATTGAGGTGTGTGCGATTCCATTTACTTAATTGAGTTACCGCCATGAGACAGGCGCTGGCGGGGAGTGTGACACCGACGGAGATGGAGCGCCTGACTCCTGCAGACTGTGGCACATACCCAGACAAGGGGGCCCTGACTGAAGTGCTGGGGGGGCCTGGAGAGTGCCCCAAGAATATTCCCACAGCAACAGCCAGCACCAAGAACGAGGGGAGGGAGAGAAGAAGAATGGGGAGGGATCCGAGTTAATAGACTTTCTCACACATACCCTTTTTATCAGGCTTTCAAAGTGAGCCTAATCTCAATAATATGAACCTTCTGAGTTTTTCTCTCAAATCAAAGATAGCAAATCTCTTTAATGGTGAAATAGGTAAAATTATGTTCTTAATTTTTTGTTAATTTACTTTATATAATTACTTACTAAATACAAGATTTTCTTCTTTCAGAGCGTTTTTTGCCCCCAAAGGCCTTGTTACAGAATACATTACACTTGCATATTAAGAGTCATAGTATTAAAATTGGGCTTTTCTAGGACATGAAAAGTCTGTGTTCATAAAATATGTTAGGAAACTTAGCTGCCTCTCTCAAAAACAAAAATGTGTTCAGTATTAGAATGAAAAGAGTCAGAGGTGTTGACAGTGTTGAATAGAGGGAAATAATGCTGCTTCCTCTTTCCTAAATAGGACATTAGCACAGTTTACCAGATCTTTGCTGATGAGGTGCTTGGTTCAGGCCAGTTTGGTATCGTCTATGGAGGTAAGCGACTGCAGCCTGGTGCATATTGTACATACTCTAGAAATCTGTGAAATTTAAAGATCTCTGCTAGCTCTTGTGTCTTGTCACAATTTTGTCGAGGGGCTTTTTTCTGAGGGGTTGATTTGCATTCTTTTAGCTCCACCCTTTTCATTCTGAGTATTCATTCCTTAATTGCAACTGCACACTTTACAAAGTAACAGAATCACGAAATTAGTTTCACTAGTCTTACTTTATCTCTTCTTGTAGCTCACTTATAAAGATGTTTGTGAGGGAAACATAAATGGCTTGAAGCTTTTGTTGGGCTGTGTGGGCTCGTTTATCCAAGGATATGCCCTACTGGATTTCTAACACAAATGGCCCCATTTGTCTACTGTTGGCATGAATGTTGTGTCGGGTGTGAAGAGGTGAAATCTCACTGTGATTCATGATATTGGCAGAGTCGTTTAAGCTCATTGTGCATTAGTATCTTCCTCTGTTTAATGGAGCTAACAAAATTTGACCTGCATAGCTCATAGGGTTGTTAATTAAGCCTAACATACATAAAAGTACTTTTTTATAAGCTATGATCCAAAGTATAAAAGAAATGTTAAATCCTATTCCTCCCTCACTGACGCTCTTTAAGGAGCCTCCTAGTTGGCCTTTCTGCTTCAAGGCTTGCTCTGATATGTGGTTAAATAACTGTGCTGACTCAGTGAACCTAGAATAAAACTAATCCATTGATAAAATGTTTCTATCTTGACAGTGCTTGAAGACTAAGAGTAGTTAACTACCATTTATTTAATAAGGTGGATTATTTTTCAGCAAACAGGTTCATTCAAATTTCCTTCCATTTCAAGTAATGAAACCACCTTTAATAGGGGCAACTATTATTAAGGGAAAATATAATTTACTTCTTAAAATTGAAGATGAGTGAAGGAGAAAAAAAATCAGCCAAAGAAAAGAAATCTAAGGAAATACATACCAGTTTCAGTCTTCGTTCAACTTCCTGACAAAGCTTTTACATTGTGTATGAGCTGTCAAGCTGCTTTTTCTTTCTTTTCTATACTTTTTTTTTTTAATAGGAAAACATAGAAAGACTGGAAGGGATGTGGCTATTAAAGTAATTGATAAGATGAGATTCCCCACAAAACAGGAAAGTCAACTCCGTAATGAAGTGGCTATTTTACAGGTAAGAAAACCAAGTTGCTTTTTATTGGTTTTAATTTTTGATTTGTGAGTTTTTAAATGCAAGTCTGTTCAGCGTGCTGGTAAGAATAAGGCTTATTTTTTCTTCTGTTTTCATCTTATGCCCTTTGGGCTCAGTGAGAGGCTGGTGGGCATCTACATTAAATCCTTAAGTCTTTTTTTTAAAAAAGGAAAAATTAAGTTATAATAATCTAGGAGTTACAAGAACTGCCATTATGATAGTAGTTTAAAACACATTTTCATACGTGAAATCTTAACAACAAAAGTAAAAATTTATTCTTAATTCAGCACTCCAGAAGCTCAAAATACTTGGATGCTTGTGTCCCCACATTTGACTAGGAGGTCAGCACTGTACCCATGCAGTGCTCACAGATGATGTGTTTGGTTATTATAGCAATTGCTATAAAAATAAAGTTTGCTTAAAAATTGTGTACCTTTTCATTTGTTATTTTATTCATTTAAAACTCTAAAGATTTAATTTTATGTTTTAGTCCATTAAGGTATATTTTTAAAGATATGTTGGCAATGACTTAACTTCCATTAAATAAATTACTGTCCTTATTTTCATCTAACATTTTTACCTCTTTTCGGGGTCATCTGGAAGACTAAAATTTAGCTTTATCTTTATTTTTATGAATATCATATAAATTATAATATGCAAATGTCTATTCACTGTGTAGCTTTTGCATAATATTTAAGAAATCATGGTGATATAATAGTTAATGCTGTCAGAACCCCATTTGCTTGTGAGTGAAGTTCAAGAAGACACAGCCTACTGAACTTAGGCTTCCTTGAAGAAGCAGGTAAGAAACTTTTATAAACACAGGATTCATTTTACATGTATTACATTATTGGTTACCAGCAGTGACATTTGCCTCCTGTGTTTTTCAGAGGAGTGATAATCGAAAGATTGTGGTCTGCAAGCTACCTATGGTCCCTTCAAGGTCATTTCCTCCTATACAACTACCTTCATAGAGAAAATTAATAGCATTCAGACTGTATTAGGATATGAATATTGTTAGCGATCTTTTTTCATATCCGATTCTGGAATCTTGCTCATTGTCCAACTAATACACAAAAAATAAATATTAAGGATATATTCTTAAGGCTTGATTCATCCTTGTCACTCTGATCACAGACACATCTCTAAACTAAACACTGAATAAATAATTTAGGAATTTCTGGGTAATGCACAATGCAACAATGGTAGTACAGCCTTCTGGTTATTTTCACTGATACTGCTCTACCGAGAATACAGGTGAGTGATTGTAGTATGTCTTCAAATACGCTATTTTCATCTTAAATTTAATACCATACTTTTTGTTGTAGATTCTTTTCAAATTTTTATATCCAAATCTGTATTTAGTGAATGGCTTACTTTGTGCTAGAAACTACACTTAATAAGTACTTTTTCTTAACATCACCCAACAGGAAGGGGACAGGTTTAGAGTTTGAATCTAAGAGCAAACCACATGCTCTTTCTGCTCTACCACACTGGACCTGCTCTGTGCGTCTGTGTGTCTGTGTGTGTGTGCATGTGTGTGCACACTTGTAAAACTGTGACTTCATTTCCTTTGCAATGTAGAAATTCAAATTCTATATATAAAGATCAACTTTAGCCTACTTTGTATTTGAATTACAATTCTCTTGGAACAATCTGAATGTGGTAAAAACATTTTTTAAAGGAAACTTTTTTAAATACTACCTCATTTGCTGAAATTCATTACACAAGATTTAGTCACATGAGCATTTGACATGGGTTGAAAGGAACGTCCTGCACTCCTCCGCTCACTCACTCCACCCTTTGGTTCCACACCTCCCTTCCCTGCTGTGTCATTCTTACTTTCCAGTCCTTGCCCCTGGTTCTTGTACATAGTCCTCATTAAACAACCTAAAAGGCTGGCTGAACCCCACCTGCCAGTTGATTCTGGTACTGTGGCTTTCCTGCAGCTCCACTGACATCCCTGGTTTTTCTTCCCCAGGTCCTCACCTTTATAAAGAAAGGTTAGGGGGTAAAGACTAAGCATCTGACTGCAACTATAGTTTTGGCCTTTCCAATGGCAGGGAGGAAGAATTCTAGAATCATTGATTAAGGAGTGACCTTATAGTTTACCCAGGAATATCCAGCCTCTCTCTTGCATGCTTGGTGATAATCTCTGTATTTCTATCAGTTTAATAGAAAGGAGGACATGACATTTTCAGACATCTGCAAATATTCTGTTAGGCTGAGCCAAAACCTGTTGAAAAAGGTTCCACTATAGACACTACACTCAACAAATTGAGTCTCTTTTCCAAAGGATGGCCACACTGACTGTCTTGCTGTTCCTTAAATGTGCTAAATATGGTCCTGTCTCAAGGACTTTGCTTTAGCTATTTCTTCTGCCTGGAATGCTGTCACCCCCAATATCTGCATGGCATATTCCCTTATCTCTTTCAAGACTTTGCCCAAATGTCATTTCCTCATGAGGCCCTTGCATTCTGTTCAGCATTATGTACCCATCCACCCTCACCCTCTTTTTCTCTCCATAGCATTTACCACCTTCATACTGGGTAATTTACTAATTTGTTACCTATTGTTTACCCCCACCTTGCTAGAATTAATAAGCTCCATGAGATGAGAGATATTTGTCAGTTTTGTTTGCTTATGAATCCAGACTACCTACATAGGACCAGGCGCATAGCAAATACTCATTTAATATTTATTGAATAAATGTGTTTATATGGGGGATTACCTGTAACATTAAATTTTTTAAATGGAAATGTGAAATGGTTCCATTTGTATAGTTTCTTAAGGTAATGTGTACTTTGCACATGTGTACATACAGTTATGTAAAGAAAAGGATCCATACCTACATAAACTGCTAACATGACTACATCTGCTGGGGACTGTGTTGTGGGGCAGGAAAGAAATGGAGGCTTTTTACTTTTGTTTCATAGGGATGTGGTAATATAAAATGTCTTTGCTCTTACTTGAAGTGGGTAGGTCAGAGAGTAGTAATGGGAGAAGATATGTGGCGCTCTCATGGCTACCCTATGTAAATGGGAAAATGTCATCAGAAACTTAGGAGAAATTTCTGGTTGTAGTATTAATTCACCATTTTCCCCTTCTCTTTTTGGAATTCACCTAAAAGCTACAAGAAAAATGATTAAAAAAAAAAAAAAACTAAGAAAAACAGAAGAAAGTTCAGACCTATAAAATAGGTAGAGGAGTTTTTCCAGAAACACTGGAGTTGAAGCCGGGGTGCATGTAAGAAGAGGCACCACAATAAGGGCTGTTTTTGCTGGCTCTTTCTGAGATCTACAATTGTAATATCCTCTCTAGGTGCCTCCTGAAATAGAAGAAAGCCAAGGGGGTCATGATCTGATAAAATTTAATTTAAGGGAGAATACAGTAAGTGAAGGGAAGAAGGGCACTTTAATAGTGGAAGAGTGCAGATCACACCAAATAACAGTAGCGGCCTTTATAAAGGAAGACTAGAGAGGAAACGGGGAGAAACTGACAGGCACATCAGTAGTCCTGGTAGATGAAGTAGCCCAAACTAGCAACGTGGTAGGCCTAAACAGTGTAAGGTAATGTAATCACTTTATACTGAAGTCTGTACCCTAAAAACAACAAAGAATAGCTCATTCATTCAAAACAGGATAATTAGTATTCTTTGATCCTAATGCAATAAAACTAGAAATAAATTATAAAATCAAAAAACAAAAAGCTCCCACAACCTTAAAATTTTTTAAATATCGTAATTCTTAAAGAGCAAAATCAAGATTTCAAAGTATTTAGAAAATAATCTTGAAAATACTGTATATCAGCTTTTAGACTGTTGCTCAGAAAATTTATAACCTCAAATATTTACACAAGAATGAAAATAAGTGAATTAAGAATGCAACTCAAGAGGTTAAAGAATGAACAATATAAAGGAAAGCAAAAATAAGAGAAGTAAGAACATCTTGGGGAGATGACCACAAATACTGAAAAAAATTTAAAGGCATTTTAAGATGCTGCCTTGGTCCAGTTCCATCAAATAAATTTGAAAACCTGGAGAAAACGATTCTCTATGAAAGTATAATTTACCAAAAGACTCCACAGGAAATAGGACATTTAAACAAACAGAGGAAGTTAAGAGACAATAATGTTATAGCATACTTCTATTTTTGTGTGTGTGTACCGTTTACAGGGCGTGGGGGCGGGGGGCATGGAGAAACTTACAAGACAACTACAGCGTGGGGACAGCCAACCACACTTCGAGCTCTAAGCTGATCAGAGTTGTGATATTCTGAATCTTCCCCTGCTCACTACTATTATCACACCCATGTCACTTCTGTTTACTATATAAAATTGTCATTTTTTTATTTTGCTGCTTGGAATATCTCTCATTAAATTGTTTTAAATTGATTAGTAAACTATTTTGCACTTGATCATTTTTTAAAACACCAACCATGATTCAGACATTGAGCTAAAATGACTAAGACAGTCTCTGCTGTCTGGGAACTTACCAGGTCCAGAGCAAGATGCATACACATGACACAGTACCGTGGGATAGGTATTGCTTGCATGTATATACAGTGTTAGGTGAAAACTACTGCAGTTGTCCCCAAAAGAGGTAATGGGAGCTCAAAGTAAAGCCACTACAGTGGGAATTGAGAGATGGGGGCAGATTCAAAACACATTTTAGAGATGGTGCTCAACCTCACATAAGCCAAAAAGAAGTTTGTCCTCAGCATAATTAGGTACCTATAATAAGGATAAAAGCATAAGAAACATATATTTCTAATAATAAAAAGTTTAATCACCTGGGCCAATAGAGCATATTTAAAATTGAAGAGGGAGAATGAAGCCATATTAGTAAAGATACGAAAGTCCAAGCAGAGGAATAGATTTATGTCCAGGAATAAAAAGCCACTGAATATTTCTGAGCCTGGCTGACAGGATAATTGCTTTTGAGGAAGGTTTTTTTGTTTTTTTTAACCAGTAAGATAGATTATTTTTTTATTAGCATAAACGGTATCACATTCAACTTTGTATTTCTCCAAGCCTGGTCATGTAGTGGTGCTCCAGAAACATGAGATGAAGGAGGTACAGATCTTGAGCCGGAAAGAGGGAAAACCAAATGGAGGTATGATTGAGAATCCAAACTTAAAGAAACAGAACCATCTCTTGAGCACAGACCTCCACCGATACAGCCCCAAAGAGTCAAAGTTCTGTGTAACTGGCTAAAGTTTGGCCACTGGTGCCTGTTCGTGGACAGCATAAAATTAGCATAGTGTCAGAAGACTAAAAAATGAGAAAGAAAAATGTAGTAGTAATGGACAAGGGTGCTTATGTAATCAATTGGAAGACATCCTTTCCCCTAGGTGCATCCAGTGCACTACAGATCTTGGAAAATCCGAATCCGTGATCCCGTTTGTTTGCTTTTACTGCTTATTTTTCTGTTTTTCTTTCTATGCCATGTAATCCAGACAATCGCAGTACATTGTTAGATATTTGCATAGTAAAAATATTTCTCAAGTTGGTCATATAAATATCCTGCAACTCCTCAGAATTTGCACCATCCTGGGATTGTAAACCTGGAATGTATGTTTGAAACTCCAGAACGAGTTTTTGTAGTAATGGAAAAGCTGCATGGAGATATGTTGGAAATGATTCTATCCAGTGAGAAAAGTCGACTTCCAGAACGAATTACTAAATTCATGGTCACACAGGTATTTTACTTTTTTTTTTTTTGAAACAAGAGAATACTTGAAAACAGAATTAAATAGCAGTGCTTTTACATATTGGGATATTGTGGGAATTTTTAACCTTGAAGAATAGAGTAACACTTCAGTTAAAACTTAATGAACTGTAGTGGACTTTTCAAATTATCGTATCATTCAAAAGCTCAGGTGGGGGGTTTAGCTATGATTTTTTTCCAGGTACTGAAAACATTGTTTTCTTCGATAACAGATCCTTGTTGCCTTGAGAAATCTACATTTTAAGAATATTGTGCACTGTGATTTAAAGCCAGAAAATGTGCTGCTTGCATCCGCAGAGCCATTTCCTCAGGTGAGATACTCTCTAGAACCTTTTTAAGTATCTGACAGTATTACAGTGCACCCATGTAGTGAAAGGGAGTGCTTTAGGTTTAGATATATAACCACCTTAACAGAAGTAATTAGCTTATACCTGCCAGTGAGGATTAATACTTGAAATAATTTGAACTTAGATCTTATATTATTTTCATTAAGACTTTTTAGACTTAACCAGACCTCAAGGAGTAACTTTTTGCATGTAGACTGCAGTTCACTTTCCCTGTGGTTTGGGAATGATGCGAGGAGAATCAATCTTGGCTGGTGCCTGGTGCTCAGGACAAATTCCCCATAAAATAAAACAGGGGTAACCCTACAGTGGGGGACACTAGATTTTTTTTGTGGGGGGACACACTAGACTTTTGAGGCTGGCAGCCAACTCCTCTTCCTCTTTAGAGTACTTTATTTCAAACATCTTCACCAAAACCTGTGTAAGAATTGTATTTCCCATTACTGCCATCACTCACACATGTATATCCCGTGTGTGTGTGTGTGTGTGTGTGTGTCCCTGGGTCCTATGTGGACTGCATTGATTTTTTTACTTGGTTAAATTTCATTTCACTAAAGAGTATTGATCTTGATCCAAAATTATTTCATAACCTAAAAAAACGCCTCATAAACCCAAAGTTTGAAACAATCTTCCTGAGGAATATTTGTCAGCAGTCCCCATAAATATTTTTCATGCTTGTCATTGGTGAATTCTCCAATCAGCTAGACTATCTGTTGACAAACTATTTATAAACATTTGAAAAATGCACAATTAGTTGGCTAGACTAAGGACAATTATTTCACTTGAGTTAAATACAACTCAAATTGTCTTTCAAAGAAAAAGATTATTTTTAAAAGTTATTCAACTCTTACAAGGAAGTAATCCTATTCTTTTATAATGTCTATGTGGTTAAAAGGGATTCCCTAACATTGTGAGGTCAAAAAGGGTTCCCTAACAGTTGGTGTGATGTTTTAAATAAAGTGTTTCCATACATTATCATCTCATTTGATCTTCAGAATAGTCTGGGCAAAGGATGCATACCCCTACAGTGAGGCTGAAACTCCCATCTTTCTGACTTCTGTTATGAACAAAGGGAAAATAACATCATTTACTTGACATTCCTTTTTGCTCAAGTGCTAGCCATGGCCACACTTCCTTATTCAGTTGCCAAACTGCCACAGCATCTCTTCTTTATCAAGATGTTACCAGAAATATGGCATTTAACAACAAAAAAGAGAGTTCACAGGTCTTCATGGTCAATAATCCTATTGTTACAGGACTCAATCAGAGGGAGCCACATTCAGTAATGACACAGAATAATAATCATAAAAACATGCACCAGGGTCCATGTTCTAGTAATAGCAAGAAGCATTTGAATACACCTTCACCTCTGCTTTCCAGGCACTGTTTATACCATTAGTTGTAGAGGACAAATCCCTTTTTTCTCAATTTATCATAATGCTTTTTGTGAAGACATTTTATGGGTCGGGGCATTTCCTCTGGAAAGTACTTGGCATTTGCTTGTTCACCATGGGTGTGTCATTACTTCCCAAAAGGATATTGTAGTGACTGTGGTTACCTTCAGATACAACTTTTTTCAGATCCAAAACTGACTAGCCATCATGTTTCACAGTCCTAGAAAACACTTTTGCTCTTATTCTTTCAAGCAGTCTCTAGCATTGCTCTTTTATGGGCTACATTAATAGTTCTCTTTACTACACCTCAATTTAAGTTATTTGCCAACTGATAGTAATACTTGGGAATATAGATTCTAGGATTAAGCAAAATAAAGGGTCAGTTTTTAAATAACCAACTTACTTTTCATTCAGCATTTATTGAGTACCTTTATGTGATCAGGCACTACGAGGTCACTGAGGATTCAAAAATGAGACACATAATTTCTGCTCACAGATGATAGAAAAGTAGCTCCTTAAAAGCCAAATGATAAAAAATCAACACCCTCCCATTTCATCAAAAAAAAAAACAACTTTGACCACTTACACCACCAGTCTGGTTTTTGGCATTCTGGAAGCTAGAACTTAAAAGTGGTTTTTTGAAATAAGCACTAGGAAAAGCCTCTTCATACTATGTCAGTAATACATCACAGGGTTATAAATGTATCTCTCTTTTGGGAAAAGGGTATTTTACGATTTCCCTCTCTGCATCCATTTGATATTCACAATCAGTACAGTTGGCAGGTGTGTTGAAATGATTCAGTATCGTACTTAGGGACAGGTGTGTATAGAGAGATTGACAGATGAAAATGCAAAATTAACATCATCTTTTTATTTCCAGGTGAAGCTGTGTGACTTCGGTTTTGCACGCATCATTGGTGAAAAGTCATTCAGGAGATCTGTGGTAGGAACTCCAGCATACTTAGCCCCTGAAGTTCTCAGGAGCAAAGGTTACAACCGTTCTCTAGATATGTGGTCAGTGGGAGTTATCGTCTATGTGAGCCTCAGTGGTACATTTCCTTTCAATGAAGATGAAGATATAAATGACCAAATCCAAAATGCTGCATTTATGTATCCACCAAATCCCTGGAGAGAAATTTCTGGTGAAGGTAAAAAAAAAAAAAAGTTTCAGCTCTACACCTTTTAGTCTAAAAATCGTTGTGATTCCCAAATCAGCCAGTCTCTTCTGGCTCGTCTTTTTAATTTCTCATATTCATCTTTCAAATTCAACCAGTTTTTGAGCACTCTTCCTTCTACATTGTCTCTTCTTTAATTTCCTTATAGCGCCCAGGCGTAGCACTAATCCAGGCCCCAGTTTCCTCCTTTTGAAACTACTAAAATATCTTACCAGTCCTATCCATTAGCCTCTTTCCCAGTCACCACTGCGGCCAGATCAGTCTTTAGGAAACACTACTTTCGTCCTAATCTTCCCCAAACACCTTGGCCTCCCTTTAACCACGTTGCAGCTGTAGGTCTCCCTGAGACAGCCCGAGTCTACCCTCCCATGCTCCCCTCCATAAAACCTAGTTGTTTATTCTTCCCAGCTACTTTCTGCATTTTGCTTAGGCCTTTCCCTTGCCTACACTCCCTCTTCCTTGCTACTGAAATCCTTCCAGTCCTTCAAGACTTGTGGCTCATCTATGAAGTCTTCCCTGAGCCCCTCCTCTGAACTTGGTAAGATCAACTTAGGCTACTAGGAGGAGATATTTTTCTTTAAGTATTCTTTCTTTTCATAATTACTTATTTTCAGAACTAGATTATAAGCTCCTTGAATGGAGACCTGTCTTTCAAGTTCTTTATACCTAGGAGGAACTTTATAGACATTCTCCAGTTTATTTGCAGCCATCCTGTGGACCAGTCCTAAGAAGGATACATCTGTTTTCCCTGCACAGTAAAGGTTTTTGAGCCTGGGTTCTATACCCATCAAGAATGCCTTGGCTGTCCCTCTTTAGTTTGATTTTGATACTGCTGGGAAGGGCACACAACTTATTTAATAGCCACATATTGAATAGAAGCCTACTAGGGAAATAATCCCACCTGGATTTGGCCAACCTTTAGAACAGGACTCTTTCCTGTTTTCCAAAAGGACCAGACCTAATCATAGGGATTAACAGTCCATTAAACTGGGAAAGCTTGACGAACAACATGTAAAGACAGTAGCACGCTTACTTGGTAACGAACAGCTAACTGAAGTACGTATGAGGGTTTCTCTTAGAGTTCCTGGGCCAGTGTGGTCTGCAGACCTCTAATATTGGAATAATCAGTTGGTGAGTGTACTAAAGTGAAAACCCCTGGCTCTATCCCAGAGATGCCACTTCACCAGTTGGCATGACACCAGGAATGCATTTTAATAAATACCTCAAATGATTCTGATGCACTGGTGGACAACCACTTAAGGAACAGCGGGTAAAAGTTTGAAGTATTTGGAACCAGAGATGTTCATAATTAAAATACCTGTGGTATGAAGAAGAGAAACAGAACGGGTACAATGTAAACCTTTCGTTTGGCTCATCCCTGGGTCCAGGCCTTTGTATCAACATTTCAAATGTACTGTCACACTGTGTGTAGCCAGTATGCACTCATATCGTGGTTTTGGTTTTGCAGTTGCTCCATTCCTTCAAATAACTGGATGAAATAAGTATGCCAGCATCTCACCGTATACACCAAACACCATGAACATACTTGTGTAAAACCTGTTGAGTATGAACTTGTGGTAATAAGTTACCACGTCAGTCTAGCCCCATGTGTAGAGGCAGGGCAGTGGCTTTGGCTCCGCAGACCAAGCCAGGGACTAGGGAATGGTGTCATTGGAGGGACACAGCAAGTCAGTCTGTAATCAATTTTTTTTAACTCATTTTGGAATAATAATAGCTAATACTAAGCACTTACGTGCTGAGCATGATTCTAAGCCCTTTATGTGTATTATTTCATCTTTCAACAACCTCATTTACAGATGAGGAGAAACGGCAGCGGGTACTAACCGACCCTCTGCCACGCTGAACGTGTGCAGTTGCACTGCCTCCTTAACCAAACAGGCACACCCCCTAAGATAGGTACTCTAAGCTCAGTAAACGTTCATGGATCACTAACAGGTTAGCTGTAAGACCGGGGCCTTGAAAAACGAAAACCCTCAACCCTGTATTTCTGTGGACTGAACTGCCTTCTTAGCTGACTCACAGGTTTGGTTTGCCCCATATGCCCAAATCCACGTGTCTGATTTCATCTTTTCTCTTAGCAATTGATTTGATAAACAACCTACTTCAAGTGAAGATGAGAAAACGTTACAGTGTGGACAAATCTCTCAGTCATCCCTGGCTGCAGGTAAAAAAAACAACAAAAAACACCTTTCTCTCTCTCTGGTGATCCTCATTTGAGCAGTTCGTTGTAATTTGTCTTACCTAATGAAACCACTCTAAGATCAACAGATTCTCCTCGTCTTGGACTGCTGTGTCTACAGTGATTAGTTTGTCCTGTGGCTGCATCTCTGGAGGTTTTGCAGTAAACCACTGAAATGCAGAACTGATAAGGCAATTAAACTCCCATGAACTGAGAGCAGTGATTTAGCCTTTTTAGAGGACCTTATGTTTCATTTCACCTTTTTGTAAGATAAGCATCTTATTTTGTCAAACATATTTTATTTTAAAAACCACATCCACTAAAAGATTCATATTTGCATTGATGAGATCAGAAATGCCATTTAAAGTGTTTGGCTGAATTCCCCCAAAAGCTATTGCGTAGATTTGTCAAAAGACACCGCCAAACTTCAGAGTAAAGAGAAGCTTTAGAACTATTTTAAAGGGAGTAGGGGGTAGCATTAACTTCAAAACAAATGCAATCATAGTTAGTCTCCATGATTATTAAATTATCCTGGTAATAGATTCTAAGTACTTTCCCCTATTTTGAGGAGTAAGGTGTGGGTATAAGGTCAGAGTATAGAACAGAATGTTTTAGTGATTATTATTAGCTATCTCAGAAGCCTCAGGTAATTTTTTCTTTTTAATTGTAGAAACTAGTTACTCCACTAGAGATTCTAAATTTGAAAAAGTATTTAACATCGCTAATTTAAATGTTACAAATGGAACTTACTGTATAGCAAGTACTTAGGAGTTTGGGTTGTCAATTTTGTGACTGGGGTGCTAAGAAAAAAAAAGTTCACAGTATTTGTTTCTTTTATAGTTTTAAAATCACTTCATGTTTTTCCTAGGACTATCAGACTTGGCTTGACCTTAGAGAATTTGAAACTCGCATCGGTGAACGTTACATTACACATGAAAGTGACGACGCCCGCTGGGAAATACATGCATATACCCACAATCTTGTGTACCCAAAGCACTTCATTATGGCTCCCAACCCAGATGATATGGAAGAAGATCCTTAATTATCAATGAGCTAACTTCAATAAGGAAGAATTTCATTTTATGGACTGATATTTTGCTGCACAACTGTTGTTTGTAGGTTGTCATCTGCAAGGGTGCAAAGACATGGGGAATATGATAAGGAATCAGTGACACCAGTACTGTAGTTCATAATGAGTAGGTACAAGAGGGGAAACTGAGTAATAAAAATATACAGTGGAACCAAGATGAAGCTTTTCATAGCATAGCAATGACTGGTTTTTGTATTTTTTCCTAATCCTTCACTTTAGTACTATAGTAGCATTTAATTTATCTTCCCTTTCCTGTTCCATTATTTTTTAAAAAGGAGAAAAAGGAAAGCTTAGAGTCCAGCCATTGCAAATCTTGATCAAATCATGTAAGAGTTCTAACCAGGTGTGCATTTAAGAGATAACTGAGGAGGGGCCACCAGCGCAAGGGTTCCTGTGAGGACTCTAAACATCTGTTTAACCACAGACCCACGAGGGGTTTTTCCTAGGAGCCTAGAAATGTTTCCTAGATGCTAGGCTGTTTTACATTTTTTTTCTTTTTTTAGGTCAGTCAAGAGTCCAAAACCATGATCCCTAACCTTTGGAGCTACATTCTTAATATGCTCTCTACAACATAAAAATTAAGTTAGTTAGTCCCCTTTTGTGAGTACGTTGGAACGGCCTCTAAGATAATTTGGGGCAGTTGGTGTCACAGAACCGGGAGGAGGGCCTGCTGGTCGGTCTGCCCCTCGCTCAGCCCCTCTGCTGTGTACTTATGTTCCCACTGTAATGCCACCGCAGGTTTCCAATGTTCAGTGAGTATAGATCTGAACTTGTATTACACAGTTTATCTTTACACAGAGTTCAGCAATTGGAGGAAGAAAATTACTAAAAGTAAGGCCAGTACAGGATCAATTAATGCTACAGAGAAGAACCGCAAAGAGTGTATCCTTTTTTTCTTCCCTTAGGTTAGTGGAAGGCTTTACAGATATCTGGAATGTTTTTATATCAATTATTTTACGCAGTTTGGGGAATGGGTGGGGTGGAGCATGAAACATTTTATTCTTTCATTTGCTCTGCTGATATCATAGCCCTACCCTTATAATTTTTTTTTTTTTAACATTTCAGCACCAGCAGCCCGCTAAAGAAGTGTTTCTCTACTCAGATATAATGTTTAAGAGGTTAGACTTTTTCATAGCTTTTAAAAAGTTACTAATGGTTTTCTCCCCCCAAAAAGTTTAAGCTCTGGGACCACCCACTTATTTAAAAAAACTAGTGGCTTTTTGTTTCTTCATTCCACAGTAATCACTTGTAAACTCTTTTTTCCCCAAGAAAAAGAGCAAAAGATTTGGAGTCAGAAAATCCAGTCTTGGCTCCAGTCTGTCTGAGCCTCAAGATCCTCAATCTATAAAATGACCATAATTCTTGCCTCTACCTTCCTCACAATGCTGTTGTGAAGATGGGCTATCTATGAAGATATTCATACTCCATAAAGTGTGAAGAACTATCATTGCCCCACTGAGTCTGAGGTAGCAAAAGAAAAGAATGTCCCTGTAGAGGGCTTGAGAGAGCCCTGAAGCTACTCCATTATTCAGGACTAAAAGTACTGTTGAGAAAGGAGCCCCCATGCAGTCTCCTCTGTTCTGAGCTCTTTTACTTACTTACCCTCACAACAGCCACAGAGTGAGTTCATTATGGACTCCATCTCACAGATCAGGAAGATTAGCCAGCTGCAGAGGGTCACAGTATGTGGAGGTGAACCCCGGTGACACCTGGCCCCCACCCCAACCACTGTGCTGCACTTCCTACCCGTACAGATCGCCAGGAAACACAGTGTCTCTCAGTAGGTCATTCTGTGCGAATTTAAAAAATTTCATCAAATTTTGCTAAACCTTTTAGGGGTGACTTCCCCACATTTGTCCAAAGTAAGTCTGTTTATACCAGCGTGCTAAAATGGAGTAATTCTGAGTCCTGAGGCACCCTATTGTGGTTTTACTGCGTAAGGTGAAAATTAACTGGAACAACGTTTGCTATACTTACATAATCAAACTTTACAAGCCATGAAATTAATTGCACTCTTTTTGTTTGTGTTGTTGAATGCCTAAGAAGTTTTCTAAAAAAATTTGTAAAGGCACTGTCAGATAATTTGGAGTGGAGTCATTTACTCCAGATACTGTATAACCTGCATAACCTTTTTTTTGGTCTTGAAGTCGTTTTTGTATAAGAAATAATTGTTAGAAACATTGGATAATGTACAAAGTAGTCTATAATGACACTGTTCCGTACATTTTTATATTTTTTGTTACATCCCACTTTTTGTAAATATCCTCAAAAAGCTTGATAATAAAATGTATTTCCATATCACCATACTTTTCCATGTGAAAACCTGAGCCTATCTCTAATAGAGGTATCCAAAGAAAATTTTATTTGGTTGTGTTATTTTTCTAGGCCTTGGTAAAAGAATTGTTTTGGAAATAGTATTTGTAAATGGAACTAATGCTATATTTAAAACACTGATTTTTTTTTTAACTACCTAAAATAAAAAACAACTCATTATTCAATTTTATATGAAATCTGAGGTAATTATCTGGAGGTCTTATTTCTTGGCATGAAAGTTTAGAATAATTGTAACTATAAATTATTCAACTATTGTAACTGCTACAGGACCTAAATAAGCCAAATGCCATTCAAAGTAAATTTTCTAGGTTTTAAGATACAAGGCATTGCCTGATTCCTCCCGTTAATTATAAAAACTATTAAATAATTGAGAGGGGCCAATGTTGGGCATTTTCATCTTCCAAAAAGTCTCCAAGTTTTTGAAAAATAAAATATGGAAAAAAATAAGGGTGACTACGAATGGCCCAAGGCAGGGCAGCATCTGAAAAATAAGCCCTCTATCTTCCTATTTACAGAATGCTAGTCCTGTTCTGAGTTAAGCCAAACAAGCAATAGAAAACGGAGAGTTGATCACTCTGCCAGTGAACTTCCAATATAGTTAAGCTATAAGTTCAAAACATACGTCTAATATTCTTTTCCTTTAATCTCATTGTAAATTTTTGTTGCCAATATAACAATTCCTCAGAAAGTATGTATCTGGTATTAATATAAATGTTCTGTGAGCCAAGAAATGAGAACTTAGAACGAAAACTTGACATTTATCTGAAAATGAGGGAGAATTAGCTCAAATCAGAAAATATTCCTGCTACGTAGTCTACATTTACTCTCATATTTCAGGTACATGTTAGGTTTTTACTAGTTTTACTGGGACTTAAATTTTTTTTTAAGATTTTACTTATTTATTTTGAGAGATGGAGAGGGAGAATCCCAAGCAAACTCCACGCTGAGTACGGAGCCTGATGTGGGACTCGAGATCCCACAACCCCCAAGACCATGACCTGAGTTGAAATCAAGAGTCAGACACTCCTCAGACTGAGCCACCGGGGCACCCCTAATTTTTTTTAATTATAAAATTCACAGAAGCAGAGGATAAATATTTACCACAAAGGAGAACGATTTCCACCCTTTAAGCCCACTTCCACATTGGGATATTTAATAGTGATTACTGGGCATCCTTTCCTTACTTTTTATAAACAAGTAACTATCACAGAAGACAACCAGTCTGCACTAATATATTCATTTCTATGAAATTAGTTACAAGCATTTCTTTAAATGTAGCTTTTCCCCCAAGAAAAATGGAATCATAACTATAAAACATTCTCCACTATACTTTTTTCACTTACCACATTCTTAGAGATGGGTCAGAAAATATTGCTCTACCTCATTTTTTAAAAATATGTGGATAGTTCTATTTAATCCATTCTCTGTGAAAGGCCAGTTAGGTTTCTGGTTTTTGCTAAACCAATCAATGTTCATGTTTACTTTTTAAAATAAAAATACAGCAACTAGCCTTATTAAAGGACACTCAGTTTCTCAGTAACTTGTTTCATTAAGCTGAAAGCACACAATTGTGCCAAAAGCCAGACACAACCTTAAAAGATCAATATTTAGTTGTACTGTATGTAAGATGGGCTATTTTTATTGGCTATAAAGACAAAATATTGTAATATTTTACCTGTGATATATGAAACGTGTTCCCTTTATTTTGCTTTCTTAGGCAGACTTAGGGGTAAAACGTCCACACTGCGATCACCGCCAGGCAAGTTCACCAAACCCAGCCACAGGTGACACAGAGGGTTTTGACTGACATGCATTCATTGGATGGCTTCTACCATGAAGTCTCTGATGAGGTAGCAAGGCAAAAAAGTTAAATCTTTCTCCCATCTTCTTAGGATTCATCAACATATCATATCCCTGAAGTAACTGCTGCCTGGCTGGCTCATCTGATTTGTCTAAAAGAACCTGAAAAGGAAAGTAAAAATAACCAGAAGGATTCCTAGTTACATGCAGCAATGCTAATGACCACTGGCTACTCAGCAAAGCAGGGCTTCAGATGGGATTTCTCATCACCTGCCTCAGAATCATGGGGTGCTTATTAAAAACATAAGTTGTTAAGACCCAAACCTGTGGATTTGTATGTTTAACAAATATTCCCAGGTGGTTTGATCTACGCTGAAGGGTTAAGATGTTTTCAGGACACTTCTAAAATTCATCCCCATAAACACAGTCAAGTTTTCTTACTGGACATGAACACTATTCAAAAGTCTTCATTCTGGCTTGTGTGGAGATGCAGGGGCATGCACGGCAGCCCCACCCCAGGCAGCCCGGCTGCACCAGGCCCTATGCTACTAGAAAGACTACTATACCCAGGGCCTGCTGACCGAGAAGAGCACTGAGGCCCCGGGGCGGGGGATGTATTATTTGAAACATTTTTGTGAAATACTACAAAATTAAAATATTTAATGATCGTGAAATAAATCATTACCTTCAGCCGGACATCAATGCCCATATTTTTTAAAAACATCTGTTGTTTTATTGGCCCCAGAGAAGCTACTTGTCCCTCTGACATTCTGCGCAGATAACTGAAGTCCACATCGGCTGTGAGGTCTGCTGTTCCTGGGGCAGTCAGGACGTCATGGAGCTTGTGGCCACAAAACCCCTTGAACATAATTTGTAATTTTTAAAATGATGAGTTTTTGTCCCTTTGTGGCTATCATTATCAAGATTAAAGAAATGCTATCATTTTAGTACATTTTACATAACTCTTAGAAAGAAAAACATAGCCTAAGTCAGTGGTTTACAAACTCGTTATATAGTAGCACCCTTTCCTCAAATGAGATGCTTTGTGGAAAATCCAATATAAATGGAGTGCCTGAAAATGGCTGCGTTTCACATTTCATTACTGCTCGTGGTGATGAAGTAGAGATCCCATCGGAGATCCCATCAGTTCTCCACGTAAGTTAACTTGTTTCTTACTAGAATCAAGCTAAATTTTCACCAGACTCTAGATGGTGTTTGACAAGGTGTATCCATCAACTACGTGCATCAGAATCACCTGAGACCATGTTATTGCGCTCTGCCCAGGCCTACTGAATCAGAATCCTGGAGGTAAGACTAGGGAATCAGCCTTTTTAAAAAAAACTCCAGGGTTTTTTTTCTTTAGTTAC